TTTGATACCAATTAAGATGCTATTCTGGTAAATTAAAGGCAGATGATTCCATGTCAGGTTAATCATAGAACCTGGGTAAACACCTCGAACAGCAGTCAAGTTTAATGGCGCGATACCAGGTACTGTAAAAATAATGATGAGCAAATAAGATTATTAAAGTTTAATTTACTAAAACTTTATTGATAATTTTTAGCAATTTAAGATTCAAATATTTCTAAAAGTATGCCTTAATTCACTCTAGGTATGCAAGATTACATATGAATTCATTACGGCTGTAATGGTCCATATTAAAAGAACTTATAACAAGTCAATGGAATCCTATTTTGATACCCTTTTATAAGATGTAAGTTAGAAGATTATTATCCGAAATTCAGTTGTCAGAAATTATTCTGCTAATGCAATTTTATTTTTTGCCTACGACCTATACAACCTAATGGTGGCTTTAGATTTTAAGGTTCAAACGCCTGAACCTCTACTAAATTAATTATCTTATGAAGTTAGCCAAGCGTAAACATAACAATTACAAAATTTCAGAATTGTGTACGAGATCGATCAAATAATAAATTATCCAGAATCGGCTTACTCTATACATTATTCGATAAAGGCAAAAGCAATTCGATCTAACGTATGTGGATATGCAAAATCGCATTTTCAGTAGGTAAAGATGTCATTTGCTAGGGATTATACTATCATATCAATATTGTAGATTGAAATCATTATTTAATACAGTTTAGTCAATATTGTATATTAACACTGAAATAAATTGGTGTTGTAGAGCTATTAATTATAACGAGCATAAAACCGAGAAATCTGCTATTGTGACTATTATCAAAATAGTCAGTGAAGCCACATTTTGAAGCTAGCTAGCTGCCATGCAGAGAAATTCTCAAAGTAATCATAGAAAATCATAGTAATTATGATTTTAATTTAGATTTGCATCAAGAAAATGATGCTTAGCTAATATATACAGGTAGATATGAAGATTGAAAATATTATAATATCTATGGTCTAGTAAAAACTTTATTTACTGGATTTAAGTCTTGATTATAATTATATACAGAATTAACTGAAATTAATGTTTATTCTAGAGCTGCTTTACTCTTGGTATTATTAATTTTAAATTTGATTAGTAAGACCATTTTTAATAGATCTTTACATTTTAATCAAACCGCATAGAAATATTCGCATACCTGATTGTAGGGTATTAACATCGAATTCGATCGAACGAGGACTTGGGCCAGCTATAGTAAATGCTTGTAAAGATACTTTATAAGAGGAATAATATAATAGGTTACTGGCGGTCAGATTTTCATTCTTGCCAATCGTAGTGACTTCATTTACATTGATGGTTCGATTTTCAACCGTTCCAAATCGGGTATTTCTAAGTAGTAGGTAATAACCAAGGATGATACCTCGACGATTTCTCGTTGATATCGTCTAGTTTTAAAAATATATTTAAAAGAATCATTCAGGTAGTAAGTAAAATTTGGCTATAGTATGGCTTCAAACCTGGAAATGCAAAGTTATTCCAAAACATCACAAGAAAAAATCAAAATTTCATTTACAATCGTTGAATAAGCAAACCTCCCACTCCATTCTAATAGTATTATTGTTAACAAGAGAAACATTTTGTAGCAATGGCTGCACGCTTGGAACTGTAGGTAAAAAACATTTATGTTAGCACATTTAATGTAAAACTGATATATCATAGTTATTCAAATTTTAAACTAGCTACTATCAATTTAAGATTTAATTTACCGGCTTGAAGTGTAGTAATAAATAAAGATGGGCTTTCAGGGCCATATCCAGCAGCTGTTGCGGCTTTAATTGTTATTTTATATTCCATGAATGGAATTAAATTATGCAATATAATGGAGGTATTCGCACTTTTTGTGATAGTGACGTTATTATGATTCCATTTACTGGAGTTGTATTTGATGCTGTAAGAAATGATAACACCTCCACGATCGGAAACTGGAGGTGGTAGCCATGTCAGATGAATTGAAAATAAGGCTGGAATGCCATTTATTTTCTGCGAATAGCCTAATGGTGCTATAATATTATAAAATAATCCAAGATAAACATAAAATTTTCTGCTGAGTATTTGAATCGTCCAAGCAAGATAAAATATCAATATTTCTATTCTTACCTTGTATAAAATTTGTTCCGTTGACAATATCGCTATCGAATAAACTATATTTGATATTATACGGAATCACTTGATAGTAACGAGTAGAATTTCTCAATAGGCCATAAGTATAAGTATACGTGTCTGTTCCGTTGTAGAGAAAATTTAATCTTGTATCGGTTCCATTTATTGGATAAATGCTCCACTGATATACCAGATACCCAATTTTACCATTAGGGTATCTTGGAGGTTTCCATGTTATTTTAATTGTCGTTAAATTATAGCCAAGCGCATGTAAATTCTGAACTTGACCTTTTGGGTCTAGTTCATCAATAGTTGCAGGAAAAATGCATTGGAGAAAAAATGGTTAAAAATATGCTAAACGTCCTTATGTGTGTACTAAATCTTCATAAATGTTTCTTTGAGTAATTATGAACTCATAAAAGTACGTCATAGACAGCAATATTTTACTTTTCTGAACATGCACGATGCAAAATTTGTTACATATTTTATATTTGCAAAACAATTTAATTTATAAAATTACAGTACTTTTAATTTGCTAAGAAATTTAATTCCTTAATTGAATATTAAATATACAATATCTTTTTATAGAAAGCTAAATTTAAATAGAATGGATGACTTTTTGACATTCTTTAGTAATTTAGATGAGGTCTATTTATTCAAGATTGCAAATTAATTTTCTAGATTTTACGTTGTAAATGATAACAATTTATCATACCGCCAAAGTTGAAAAAATTGCATAATAGTTACACCATGTACACCTATGTTATAAAATATTATTACACATTACGATCATCAATTTAATGCTTTACTTACAGAATTCATCGGTCCACACTTTAATAAATTGAGAAAGACTTTCTCCAACGATATTATTCGCCTCGATCGCCAAGTAATAAATTGTATAGGGTGTTAAGTTTGAATAATATGTAGCGGTATTTTCAATAATGCATCCATCACGGATATAACTGAATTGACAAGGATGTTTTAGAGTTGTATTTCGATAATTAAGTAGACGGACTGTGTAATTCGTAATCGGTTGGCGCCCATCAAATTCGGGAGGAAGCCATGAAATATTTAAGCCAAACGACGTAATATTGCGTACTTCGACATTTCTGACTGGATCAGGTGGCCCTTTAACAGATATAGGGTTTGCATAAGGTATTGAAATAGCAAGACCAATTATTAACTTAGATAAGTAGTAATTTCATTCTTTCGATAAAGAGCCCCTTAGTTAACTTTGACATATGAAATAACAAATTAGAAAGTAATATAGCAAATATTATAGTTTGTTTACAACATGCAGTTTAATTATTAGATTCTAACATTGCAAAAATTGTAATCGATAAAGGCTAATAAAATTTGGTGTGATTAACAACGGTTATCATGCGGTGCTAACTGACTATTACTATGAACGAAAGCCTCTCTTTCAGTTTCAATTCTTGGAATCTTTTAATTGCATTTATACTTTATTTACTATGATAGTAATATTAATCTTTGTCTGATTGACAGTATGGTTTCGTTTCAGTTACTTACGAAAAACGAAAACGTTTGCAATTTTACTGATTGCATTGCCCACATCATTAGTATACTTGCACTGATATTGTCCTTCATCATTTGCATCTGCACGAAGAAAATTATATCTGCCATAGAGATGAAAGTCTTTTAAGTGCGTCCCGTTTATATCAGCTTCAAGATCTATTCCATTTTTTAGCCAAATTATGATGGGTTCAGGTGAAGCAGTTGCATTGCATTCCAAAAAACCATTTTTATCTTCCGTTATATTAATACTTCGCGGTTGTTGGACAATCCTAGGAGCATCTGCAAATATCGATAATTACAAAGTTAAGCAGAATTGAATTAAGTTAGTGTCAGAAAACTGACAGTAAGTTTCGAGTTTTAGGATGTTACCCATTACTGCTATCCTAATTTATACATAATTGATACCCCCCTCCTAATTTTTTTGATACGTAGTAAGAAACATGAATAATTATATTACTTAAGACTAAAACCAATGTCGGTATATCACTGAAGAACGACAAGTTCATCTCTGTGAATAAGATATGATGATCCAAGAATTATCGCATAGTAAAAGCAAATATAAACGATCTATTGAGGAATTTGGTAGTTGATATTAGCTTAGAATATTAGTAAAGAAAGTTATTGATTCTCTAATTTTTAGCACGCGGATAGTATTGCTATCATGAAGTAGTCGTGATTGAAGTAGTAAATGCCGTGTGTGATGAATATGAGATGGCAATGAATTTGTACTTACATCGAGCAGTAAAATTTAATTTTATTCCAGCTAATAAGCCATAAGCTGTGGCTTGGCCATATCCATATTGAGTAACACCAAAAGTAGCGCTATTGTTAATGTGATGGAGAATATGCCGGCCAGGTTTTATTGCTATTGCAGTGTAAAGATAATTTATAGATGAGTCATTTACAGTCGTATTTATAAAAATTTCTTTCCACTGTAAACTTTTCATGATGACTCCATCCAATAACAATCCGTCTTTATAAATCGTTGAAATATAGATATTCAAATAAAGCCGATCTATATTATAACTACTCTCTGATGGTAAAGTGCTCAGGACATATTCTGATCTATATTGTTCCATATCAGCAACTATAACCATCATTGAATCGGTTAAGACATTATCGGTTCGAAAGCCCTTATTAAAATGAGCTACGAGACATTCTTGACTACAACTGAGATAGGTATTGTTGCTACCTATGATATCAAATTCAATAAATGATCCCTGAGGCAGAGTTAAGTTTTGCTGGATAGTGTTTATCCAAACCGTAGTTATATTGGGTGATGCAGCTACAACACGATAAATATCGCCGAACTTTCTATCAGCAAAATTACCTAGGAGATAGTTTCTACCCAATTGACGAGTAGGTAGAAGTTGCTCTATCAGGAAATCGCAGTATTGTACACCCAAAGGGATGGTAGTACATGGATTACCAGCAATAACTACTAAGTCGTGATTAGAATAGATGAGAGTGCCAGTTAAATCTTTAGTGGAACTAAAAAAGAATCCATGTTCATGAGGAATGGCAACATGAAGCATTCGCTTTCTTGAGTAAGTTTGACCAAGGTACGACGTCTCACTCGGGAAACTAATAAAAATTTCAGTACTATTAATGTGAGCTAGTACTAAAAATTGTGATGCAATAGTAGGGGTGTACGTCGCAATAACATATTCTGGGCCCATAGCATTAGTAGGAAGGGCTAAATAACCATCACCACTTAATGGGTGCATTTGATAAACGTCCACTTGGATATCATTATCTGAGGAAATTATAACACTTCTATTAGTCAATCCGACGTCCTTATTCAGAAGCTTTCGATCAAATATTACTTTTCTTGACGAATCAGCAGGAATAAAATAACTTGCTTTACTTTTATCGAATAAATTGAAAATGCTAACGTTAGCAGCCTCCGTTAAAGTATTGATAATCGCAATTGATTCAAATTGATAATTTGGCGATCCATACAGTAGGCCGAGATGAAATTTACGTCCTCGATTGCCGCTTACTACGATTTTAGAATCTAATTACAAATTGTATAAACAATTTTTAGGTACGTTAACTTCAGTGTTGAAGGAATAATGCTAAATTTTGCATCCCATAGTGTTAAATACTGTAAATACAATGTTATTGTTAGACCGAAATGTCAAACGTGAAATAATTTTCTCATACCTGCAACACCAATTAATGGCAGAGTACTGCTGAGTAACATTATGAACTTAATCAAAGTTGAAAATTCCATCACGCGGCATCAATCGGTGACTTATCTCAGGTATAGTTGGAGAATCCAACTATAAAATTAAAATAAATACAAAATTTATACTAGAACAACAGAAATCTCTTGCAATTTCTAGTGTGCAACACTTAACTTATTTTTATAACAGAGAAATTGGGTACTTTACTAATTATCCGTTTGCGTCTTAGATATAGATTGCTTACCTTAAGAAATAAAGTTTCTGTTAGTAAAAATTTGCTTCTCGGTGAAGATGTATACTTGTAATTAAGATGAGGTTTAAAACACCGACTTCTAGGTCGTAAATATTCAAATCGGTGAAGGAAGATAACTGCTCGCTTCGATAAGTACTATACCAACATTAATCAAATATTGGAGTGGTAAAAACAATTTAGAACGTTGTAACTTAAGCAAAGTATTGTGATTAGCTATTTGAAATATGAGCGAAATTCGCTACTTTTTTAATAATTATCGTATAAGACCAATATTATCTGCTCGACTTCAACATAAAACTCTCTATATTAAGCTATAGTACAAACAAAAATTATTGTGAAAGTCGCATTTAATAAGATTTATATCATTGAGGGTTTTCAAAAATAAAATAATGAATTAATTAAACGGTAAACTATCTACTATTTTCAAAATACGTAAGAAATACGATGAAATAAATCATGTCAAGATTTATACCGTAGATGCTACCGCAGATAGAAATGTTCTCAGGCTATGATTGTTTAGTCATTCAATCGTGTAAGTTGATACTACATATAAATGAAATTTGCTAATGTAATGGCAACTGCTATATTATAAGTCCCTCGAATATAATCGCTACCTATCAAGAAAGGTAAAAGTATTTTGAAAAACAAACAATTTTAATGTAACACCTGAATTATTTCGAATTTGGCGAAATTTGAGTAATTGGTAAGTTTTACGCCTTGATCTAAAGTAATAAACGATTTATTCTATAATCTACAACTTTAAAAGTTTTGCGAATCAATGGATAAGCAAGTATTTATTTTATGTGTTAGATAGAATACAGTGATTAGCACTGTAAAGTTTCAAAATCGTCCGTATACGGCGGTGATCAATTTCCTTCACTACTGTTATTCATTTCATTAAATCATTGCATTCGCTTACAATTATATTGAAAGATATCGGATAGATCATAACGATTATAAGCTTTTTAATGCAATACACTTACAATTAACAGTAGTAATTTTGAAAAATCATTAATTCGCTATCTTTTTACCTTACTTTTTATGATTTTGCTATTAAAATCTTTTTCAGAGGTTATATTAAGAACGTCTCCTAGAAGAAAGAATTGTAAAGGTACCGTAAACTTGCAGTCGACGATGATGTTGTAAGAAAAATTGTCAAACTAAAAGTCGTTAATATATTAATACGAAGCAGTCGAGACAATAAGGTCCCTCGGGTATTACTAGTTATACAATCCTGTTTGCTATTATTTGTGAATAATTTAGTGAATGCATAAAGTTCGCATTACGTATAGGTGGACAATAGTAGTTGGTAAGCGCCCCTCTGATCAATAAAAGAGTAAAGTATACAATAACTTTTATATCTTTTCTTCATGGTTTCTTGGCCATCATCATATTTGATACAAAATAGTTTATCATCAGTTATTAAGAGCTTATACTAGTAATGGCAAACATCCTGCATGATTGCTGGTGAACATTTTTGATTTAAACACACCGTCTGTTTCGAAATATTGGTTATATAGTGGTTGATTTATACTTTCTATAGAATGATTGATTTGCCGTCAATGCTCTATAACAATTACGGAGTATAACCTGGTTGCAGCAAATGCAGGAGGAATTTATAATGGAGATAGCAAAATTAGAATGTGTGTATCATCAGGTGGTTTTGGTGTTGTCCAGCATTACGATCATATAGTAGTGCAATTAGACTTGATTATTATTAGTAAACAATGATAAATAGTGGCAAACAATATGATTTAAAATTAGTCCATTAAAGACGAAGCGAAGGTATATAATAGAAATACTAAAAGGCCTGGGAAATATAAAGAAATTTATAGATGAATTCATGTTAAATGCATACTTTTCCAGTATATTATATGGATGTATGTTAAAATGAGGAATGAGGGTACATATGTATTAGAGAAAAACTTCCCTTCGCTATCCTGATCCGATCCTGTCATGTAATGATCGGTCCCTAAGATACATTTAGTCAAGATATTGCGTGAACCAAAGAGGCAACATAAGAGCTTTCAATGGCTTTAAAGAGATTTCTAGACATTAAAAGTGTTTCTATAAGTACAGTAGCAGTATGATAATTAACGCGACTTTCAGTTGTTTACAAGACTAAGGCAGTCAAAGCCCTCTTTCTTGTTCGCGTATCTCATTTTTATGTATCGAATCGATCTGGCAAAATGAAGTAACTCCTATTGGAGGTCTTTTGCCATTAAGCTCCATTTCATAATTGTTATAACTTAACGTAGCCTACTAATTTATCTTTTAACGAAGTGTTGGTCTTATCAACCTTCCACTAGGGACAGTAAAAAAAATGGCGATCAAGGCCTGCCAGCAAGTTTGCAAAGAACGCGTTTAGGAAGACAGACAGACAGATTTTAATTATTTCAGTAAATAAATTTTACTTTTCTTATAGAGGTAAAAAATTGTGGGCCTCAATAGCTTCCATACTTCCTACAGTATAGGGCAGTATCCTGGATGTAGCAGACAGAGTAAGGAGCCAGAGAGCACTAAAGTAAACAAGATCAGTAAGTAGGGAAGAAGTAATTAATTGCGGTAATTATGTGTGCTACCGTAGAACAGTTTATTCACATACAGTGCAGTAAGTATATCATTAATTAATTAAATAGTTGATGTAAGTGAAGCACTACGGATGCATTTTATCACATTAAAACTTATTTGTAACGTTTAGTTTAGTACCTATCATTATTGACCTAATACTACCAATCCAGATTAGAATTTTGGATCATCAAGTTCCTTCTTCTATTGCCTTAAGTTATAAATTATGTAATAGCAACGTAGCTATTGCCGTACCTTAATAACAGTCGTCTGTTGTCTTCCATTCACAGACGCACTATACTTGTTGCTTGAGATCAGAGATTTGTAGTATCGTCTGTTACGCTAGTACTCGTAGTCCAATATTGATACAGTTAATGAAACATTATTTATTAGTTATTATTATTAGTGTTAGAACGAAAATTATAATCTTTTTTTCAATCTCATTTTGTATGGTAGAACTATGGCTGAACTTCTCGGAATGGCGTGGTCATCGATTTTATTCGTCCAAATTATTTTGGTCTGCATAGTGAGCAGTGGCTTTCTCTTATGCTACAAGCTTTTCATTATTCCCTACGTAAAAATGAAGAAGATGAATTTAAAGGGTCCACCATTCAAGCCTTTAATCGGTAATCTACTCGATTATGGCATCACAAAACAACATATTGCTCAAATTAAGTTACGCGAAAAATACGGTGACATCTATGGCACACAGTTTTTTCAAATACCCACTATTTGGATAGGTGATCCTGACATCTTAAAGATGGTTATGGTTAAAGAATTTTCAAACTTTCCTAATCGATATTCCTTTGCTAAAGCATTAAATCCACTAGACAAAGGTTTGCCTGAACTAAAAGATCAGTCCTGGCACCGTATACGAAACGTTGTTCTTCCCACCTTTAGCTCGTCAAAACTGAAATTAATTTATCCTTACATCTGCGAGATGGGAAATCACTTGGTTGAGAGTTTAATTAGTAACGCTGATGGTAATGGTCGGGCCATAGAATTTTGTCAACCTTGTTCCAAATTCACGATAGAAATTATTTTAGCTACAGCCTTCGGAATCGAAATTGACAATCTTGCGGAGAAAGAAAAGCTAACAAGAGCAACTAATATTGTGTTTGGCAGTCAACCAAGTGCTTTATTTTTACTTCTCTTTACATCAGTTCGGCTATTCAAGATGATTGAGCCTATCTTCGGAGAGGGCTTAGCATCCCTTGAATATATTACCAAAGTAACTACTAAGATTATCAAACAACGAAGAAGAAATATGGAAGCTGGTATTGAGTGTCGCAAAGATTTCTTACAGCAAATCATTGAAGCAGGGGATCAGGACAAGCTTAATGATGATGAAATTGTAGGTCAAGCTTTCATATTTCTCACAGCTGGCTTTCACACTATTTCCAATACGTTATCGTTTGCTTGCTATCTGTTAGCTACAAACCCTGATAAGCAGCAAAAATTATACCAAGAAATTGAATCAATATTCTCAGCAGATCAAGACATCGATTATGATACTTTATTTGAGCTCTCTTATTTAAATATGGTCGTTTTAGAGACAATGAGAATTTATCCTGCTGGATTTTTTATTAATCGTGATATTAAAGAAGATAAGACAATTAATGGTATTCATTTCGCTAAAGGTGCCATGCTAGCAGTACCAATTTATGCAATACATCACAATCCTAAATTATGGCCTGATCCAGATAAATTTATTCCGGAACGATTTACAGAGGAAGAAAAAGTTAAACGTCATCCATTCAGTTATATACCGTTTGGAGACGGTCCACGTAATTGCATTGGGATGCGCTTAGCATTACTAGAAGTGAAATTAGCTGTAGCGAAAATTGTACAAAAAATGGAATTACTTACAACTGAAAAAACTGAAATCCCGCTTGAAATGGAAACTGGGACAAATCTCACTGCACCTAATGGCATCTATTTAGCCGTTCGAAAAAGACACTAATGATAAGTTCCATATATCGTTGGATTCTCTATTCTTTGAGTGAGTTAGCAATGTACTTACAGATATTAATAACCGATTGTGTACCTCAAATGTAATTGGTAGAAATGCAACTGTTCATATGAATATTAAGGCTGGAGTAGTATCAAGTTGTGCACTATTTCAACAGAGATTTTAAATACTTTTGTATTTTAATAACATGGTGAATGTGAAATTTCTAACTAATTTCCTTAGAGTTTTATCACTATAATAAGACTTTGACTGCTTAAAAGACAAGTTTTAGTAAAGGTATCACGGTATATTTGATATCTGATGATGTATGAGTAGAGTGAGAGTTTTCACCATGCTATTTTGATTTGTGTCGGATTTGCTGTGCAAACTTAAAGCATTTCACCTAGATTACTTTTACATTAAGATTGAATTACTATCTAGCCTAACAGTACGATGAACATTTGATGATAATCTAATTTTTTCTTGTTACTATTATAGAAACTTCTCAAATTTGTAAGAAACGAATAATATGAAGTTGCAAGCATAGGTTATACTGTACATATGTGTTCGGTAAATCTCTAATACTTTATTGTGATGAAATCTTCAAGGAAATAAAACCACGTATGATCTATTTTGGTGTGTCGTCCACCATTACAAAATAATTATTAAGAACGATTGTCAATAACTTAATTTATACATTTCTGTTAGCTTAGTAATTTCCGATAAAGACGCTTTCTCCAACAGTCTTGCTTGGTTTCAACCGTACAAAGTTTTCCTTAATTAATTTGATACTGTCTAAAAGCTTTACAGTTTAATCACACAGGGAAATTCTAGCTGCTTGAGCATAAAAACTACTGTACACCTACGTTAAAAGCTCATTATTTATAGTGTATTTATACATATTAGAAAAATTATCCAAGTTACTTAGCCTTACATACTGCAGTTCAATTTACTGTAATAGCTGTATTATATTCTGGCCTGCAGTACTTATGTCATAAATTTCACAATAAATATTTCTCCAGTAATTGCTTATGTTGTAATTGAAATAAAACTATCAAAAAGGCTTATTGGTTTGCAACACTACTGTCTAATAAACACCAAAGGAAATTTATACAGGCTTGAAGCATAGAAAACAGTGTACTATATCGAATTTGTTGAAAGACATCCTAGACTTTTACCAATTCTTATTATAAATACGTATTACTGTATTACATATTTCTGCTGATTAATACTTTCTCACTCCAACAGGCCTATAATTTACTGGCATATGCACTTCTAACGCAGAATTTCCTAGATTGATATTCTAGATTGAAATGTTAGGATTTTACGAAAACAAAACCGCTGCATGAATAATAATGCTATAGTATCGAATAGATCATAACTCCTAAACTTCTGTTATAAGCGATCATTTATAACAGATATTATCAGCAGACGACTGTTGACCTTTATTTTATGCAATATCAAGCACAATCAAACAAATTTTCAAAATTAATATACATCAATTCCCATCTTATTGAACATACAGAAAAAGGATAACCATGCTCACATTTCTCATGCACAGTACCTTTACGCATTATCGTGGACATAGTAAGATATCTATGATCTACTGCTTTATACCGGTATTAAGTAATGGTTAATGCCTTCGTCTTATCCCCACGTACACGGGTTTTGCAGGTAATAAGGCAGTAGATGTTTTCGTTTCCATTCGTCTTTCAGTTTGTTTAACCATAATTAATTCTAGGCGACTTATAATTTTCACTATTGCCAATTTAAGTTCTAGCAGAGCAAATCTCATACCTATGCAATTACGTGGTCCATTACCAAATGCGAGGTAACTGCATGGATGTCTTTTAGCCTTTTCTTCAGGTGTAAATCTTTCGGGTATAAATTTTTCGGGATCCGGCCATAACATAGGATCGTGATGAAGTGAATAAATAGGTATGCCAATCATCATACCTTTAGGTATTCGAAAGCCTTTAATGGTGATCTCATCTCGCGCTAAACGATCGACAGCGTAAGCAGCTGGGTAAAGCCGCATAGTTTCTGCAATCACCATATCTAAATAGGGTAAATCTTGCAAAGATTCTATACCAATATCTTCATGATACTTTGAACTAATCTCCTCATACACCTTTTGTTGGACGTCGGAATTAACAGCTAAAATATGTGATAAAAATGTTAAAGTGTTAGCCGTTGTTTCGTAGCCAGCTACCAGGAAAACAAAGGCTTGAGCTATAATTTCGTCGTTGTCAAGCTTGTCATGATCCCCCGCTTCAATCATTAACTGTAATATATCTCCACGGCAAGATACACCAGCTCTAAGATTTTTTCTTCGATGTTCAATTACTTTTTTAGTTACTGCCATTAAGTAATCAATGGAATAAATTAATTTTCCACCGACCATTGGTTCCAAAATTCGAAATAAAGTCGGTGATATAATTGCCAGAAATTGCAAGAATCCAGATTCAGTTGCAAAGATGCCTGCTGCAGCTTCAGTTACTTTTCTTTCTTGTTCTTCAGATTCATATTCTATGCCAAATATAGCTCCTAGAATTACCTCCATTGCAAATTTTCCACAGCAATCCCTTAATTCAATTGGTCGGCCTTCCTGCTCTGCGGTCATCATTCGCTCACACAAGTGATCACCAGCATCGTTGATGATTGCAAATGTTAGTTTAAGTTTTGCAGTACTAAATGTAGGGAGAACAATAGTTCGAACACGTTTCCAATCTGCACCTTGCAGATCGAACAGAGACTTGTCAAAAGGTTTTAGTGTGTTGGTGAAAGCAAATCGATTGGTAAAATTAGAAAACTCCTTAATCAAAATTGTTTGCAATACTTCTGGTTCACCAACCCATATGGCTGGAAAATGAAAAAATAGTGTGCCATGTATCCTTCCATATTTTTCAAGTCTTTTTAACTGGTTATAATGGCGTTTTGTTGGGCCTAAATCCGTAGTATTGCCAAGGAAATCAAGAGGGAATGGGACACCTAAACCTAACTTTCTCAAGTACAAATAAGGGGAAATTATAAATTTATACACTAAGTATGCTAAGAATACTACAGCAAGACTTAGAATTTGAAGAAACGTCAGACCCGGCATGTTACAGATGATGAAGTATCGGATAGTATTAGGCAAATATTATATAAAATAATCAGATTACTGCCTCTGTTTGGCACTTCATGAACCTTGTTAATGTGATCATAGAATGCAAAGCTCTAGCTCTAAATCTTCTTTACGTACAAAGATAGTCGTTTTCTGCGTCGTAAAGAGACCTTTGTAAAATAGCTTTATCAATCAACAATATTCTGTTCCTGTTACAGCATAATGTAAAGCAAATTGCTACGTTGATTTTTCTTGATGACTTGAAGATTTTCAAGTGTGATGCGATCGCATTAATAACTAAAATAATATAACTGCAATCAATAATAATAATAGTGATTATAATTATTATCGAAGATATTAATCTTTAAATTAGGATTGTTTGCCAAAATTTGACGTGGATTAAAGTAGGAAGTGATAATAATAAGCAGTTAGACTAATCCATTTTTCATGACGTTCAATGGTCACCGATAACTTTGTTTGTATTAGACGATGTTTAATTTAGAGATTGGATATCAGATGTGGTCCAACAGACGGCACACGCCAATTACTATGCAAAATAAATACGGAAAACATAAACAGTACTTAAAGATTACCATATCGAAATTGCGCTGTATGAATTGCAAACTTCACATATTAGCCTCGTCTATTCGATTGTAATTATAATTATGTTATTTGCACAGTAATGTCAGAAGGAGGAGTATTTAAAATAGCGCAGTGATATAGCAGCATACTGACATACTGTAGTTCAAACAACGTCAATACATGTACAGGATGACATTTCCACCCATTCGAGGTAAAAATAAAACAGCATTAGTTTTTCCTCTGATCTCGCCTAATATCAATACAGCAGCGCAATACAGTTGAGAGAAATAAGTTTTGACATATGAAAGTTGGACGCAAATCAGCAAGACGAGAGTAACTGTAGTAAAAGGATTGGCATAGTTGATATTATTTAATAAGTGATCGAAGATCTTGTTCTACTGTTGTAAACAAGTCTGTAGTTCTCAGTAAAGTAAAGAACTCTGTACTAAGTAGCTTCCAGGTCTAATGATAGTAAAATTTACGAATGTCTAGTGCATCATTGCCATATTCGGCGCTGCTTGAACAAATTACTTTATTTCAAGTGTTCAACAAGTATCGTGGTGTTGGCGTAGGAACCAATAGATTTGACAGCTTTTGGGTTATTATTGCAACTAAATTCTGCATACATAGGAACATTTACGTACATACTCTAGAGGTACCCAAAACTGCAATAAGTTCATAAGCTGATACGATGCTCATAGGTATAGTAATGATCGTATAATTGGATCAAGGCGTTTGATCAGTTTAGCTCGGTAAGCATATTTACTGATTGAAATTCTCAAACAGCAGTAAACTTATTGTTATTGGCTCTAGAGACCATGATAGAATCAATACGATCATATTGCAGTATTCTGCTATAATCCTTACACGTATATTCAATGTACATATTTATATAACAAGATAAAACCATGGGGTTTTTGATGGCAAAGTAGTGATGTCATTAGTTAGATACCACGCCAAACATCCACAGTTAAATTGAATAAAATATCAACATTCTACCATTTATAAGTTCTAGCATTTGTCATAGCCAATTGATATTATTGCCCACAGAGATTCGTAAATACATCGTAGTTCATGAAATTTGGTTCATATTGGATAGCTCAATTAATACAAAAATTATTCATAATTTTAGACATGTACTGAACGATTCTAGATAATTAGGTGACACTATGTCCATACGCAGAATTACTTATAGTATTATCTATAATTGAATATCTTCAGGATAGTCATCACAAGCGTTACAAGACATAATAGTATAATTAACAATAACAATAACATAATCATTAACATTAGCTATCGTATAAGAACTTTTACTATACAGTAAGTCATTATTAGTTATCTCCATGTATAAATGTTAACCACTAAATTTAGTCATTTACTCTTCACGGTGATTCGTGCCGTGGCATATACATATTTCAACGTAGTCTAATATGCTTTTGTGTCTTCTAACAGATTATTACCAGCAGCAAGAATATTAAATACAAATGAATTGTAATATTCTTACATGCCATAGCGAAAAGTCTTCCTCCCTAATGTCTCCTTTGGATTCCCACATATACACCGTTAGCCGGAGATAATGTAGCTCCAGTTTTCAACTTTAATGGAATCTCAGTTTCTTTTACTACTACTAATTTAACGTTTTGTAAAATTCTAACTAAAGCAAATTTTGTCTCTAATAAAGCCAATCGCATTCCAATACAATTTCGAGGTCCACCACCGAAGGGAATGTAACTATACGGATGATGCTTTGCTTTAGCCTCCGGGGTAAATCGTTCGGGAATGAAACATTCAGGATCAGGCCAGAACTGTGGGTTATGATGCACAGCATAAATTGGAAGTCCTATCATTGAGTTTTTGGGTATATCTACGCCATTTATAATTATGTCTTCCTTTGCACATCGATTGACAAAAAATCCTGCTGGATACATTCTTAGTGTTTCTGATATTACCATTTCAAGATAAGGTAAAGTAGATAACGTTTCATAGTCGAGATTACTTGCATTTGGGCATTTATCATCGATTTCCGTAATTAACTTTTCTTGAGTCTCAGGATTCGTGGCTAGCGAATACGAAGCCAAAGCTAATGTGTTAGCAGTAGTTTCATGACCGGCAATAAGGAAAATTACTGCTTGAGCGATAATTTCTTCATCGCTAATGTTGTCAGAATTACCAGCCTCAATCATATGTTGTAAAATATCTTTTCGACAGGGTATGCCTTCTTTTAAGTTTTTCCGTCGTTGACAAATAACTTGCTCAATTGTTTCGGTTAATAAATTGATTGATTTCATAATATCTCCTCCAACAACCGGCTCCAAGATCTTGAATAATGGTGACGCATAAACTACAAAAAATTGAACAAAAGTATTGGTATCTCTAAGTATCATTCCTGCAGCTTTAGTGATTTTAGCTTCATGTTCTTCTGATTCGAACTCAATGCCAAAAGCTGTTGCTAAGATGACTCGCATAGTAAATTGACCACAAACCTGCCATATATTAACAGCTTTTCTATTGACTTCAACTTGGAATAATTTATCAACTAAATTATCACTAGCTACTCTAATAAATGGAAGAATGGTCTTTAATTTTGATGCACTAAAGGTAGGAACTAGAGTAGTTCTTACTCTTTTCCAGTCTTTATTTGTCAAGCGCAAAAGTGTTTTGTCAAAAGGCCTCATTAAACTAACTAATGCATAGCGGTTAGTAAAATTAGCGAAATCCTTGACCATAACTGCTTTGAGCATTTCTGGATCTCCTATCCATATGGTTGGAGCACAAAATATGAAAGTACCATAGACATTGCCATATAATTCTTGTCTTTTTATCTGAGCGGTATGCTGATCTCTGGATCCGTAATCCATAACGTTACCAGCAAATGGTTTAGGGATAGGCATTTTGAGTCCACATTTTCTTAAACGTCTGTATGGTCTATAGTAATCGTCATAAAGTTTATGTATAAATCCATAGCATAATAACACCATCACTATTGGTAATAAAATCTCTCGTAAAGAAATGGAAGATGTTAAAAGCTCTTGTAAAGCCATTGTAATTTAATGTCCAGTGACCACTGCTTATAATCTTTTCCAATAACTATAATAATATGATGATTGTATTAGGCAGTGAAATGGTGAATTAGTGATCAACTTGTACAGTAAAGTAAAAGTAAAAATACAGCGTAGTATACGAAGTATAACGAGCGAGGGATCTACTAGTAATTATATCGAGTGATTTTAACACAGTATAGTAATACAAAGTCAGGTAATTGTAGCACAAAGTGATCAATTTCGATGTCTACGTTCTACCATCCTCGATTACTTTACATGCATTAGAGATGATACCATAAATTGATCAGAGTCGCTACGTTACCGTATAAGTTAACTGCAAAATTGATTTATCAGACCGGCCAGCCAATAACCAATAACTATAATCAAAATAATCATACACCAGTCAAGCAATTTTCCACTAGTTCGCCTTGCCTAGTTACCATCGAGTTACAGAATTACTTTATTCTGCAGCATTATGATAATCAATATTCTTAACAGTAATGAAGATGATGCAATCTGTAGAAACTTGTATGTAGTATAGTAAACAATGGAGCCTTTAAAATTGGACTGTAGTTGCGCAGTGGATAATCTAATTACTGTAATATTTTAGCATTTCTGCCTTGTGGATCATCGTTTCGCCAATTAGATCAGATCCTCCATATTTATTACTCGGTTCGATGATAAGATGACATTCATGTAAATATATCAGTAGGTTAGGGGCTTATATTTTGGTTGTAGGCATGCAAAATTATGGAAATTATTAAGAGAAAATTAATCATCATACGAGTCATTCTAAGCCTAGTTTCAAATCTGTATCAAGCCTGTCTTCCTCAAATATCTAGCTAAGTTACAGTCAACTAAGCGTCTCTTTATTAAAAGCAAAACCGAACCCTAATTTTATTGTAAAATCAACTGATTTGATCAAACAGACCTACGATGACAAATTTTAGTCTTTAGAATGCAGAAATCAGTACTCAACCTTTTAATGTTAATTTTTAAAAGATTATAATTTAATTTGTTAAATTAGCACATAAAGTTTCAAATTACGTGTAAAATGAATAATGGTACTGTAAGAGTTTGCTAAAATTTTGAGATCGAACTATATAAGGTATTGCATTAGTTTCTCACTGACCGATACTACTGTAAGTGTAGACGTTTACGGGTAACTACAAGTTTAGAAGAGAACCTTTTATAATTCGAGATGACTTAAGGCCGTATTAAAGGACTTCTGCGATGGAAATTCCATCTCATGATTCTTAGAAGATAACGATAAATCCGATAAGAATATCGGTCTACATTCTTGGTATAATTAGTTACATTCAAGTTTATAAATACCCTTTAGCCTAAATACTCACACTCTTCATTTCACATTATTCGCAGCAACACAATTCAAATACGTACATTCATAATAAACTGAAATTTTATTTACTTTTTTATCGGCTAACAGAATCATAGTTAAAAAATGCTAGGGTAAAGAATGAAAATAACAATTTCAGCTAATTGCAGTAGTTATATGTTAGGGTTTAAAATCCATACAATACAATCCTGCCGTCGGTACTTGTAGTAAATGAGAGTATCGGAACACAGGTAAATGGATATAACCTAAAACATTATTTCATCTGTTATTTGATAATCTTTTAATATGACAGATGTTACTAATTCTAAAATAGTACATCTTTTAATATCTTTTTTGGATTCCTACATATACTCCGTTAGCTGGAGATAATGTAGCTCCAGATTTCAACCTTAACGGTATTTCACTTTCCTTTACTGCTACTAACTTAACATTTTGTAACACTTTCACTAATGCCAATTTTGCTTCTAGTAAAGCTAGTCGCATTCCAATACAATTACGAGGTCCACCACCGAAAGGAATATAACTATAAGGATGCCGCTTAGCTTTAGCCTCTGGTGTAAATCGTTCGGGTATGAAACGTTCTGGATCAGGCCAGAGCTGTGGATTATGATGTACTGCATAAATTGGAAGTCCTATCATCGAATTCTTAGGTATATCTATACCATTCACAACCATGTCGTCTTTGGTCTTACGATTAACGAAAAATCCTGCTGGATAGATACGTAATGTTTCTGATATTACCATTTCAAGATAAGGTAGCTCAGATAATGTTTCATAGTCTAGGCTGCTCTCATCAGGGCATTTATCGTCGATTTCTGCAATTAACTTTTCTTGAGCTTCAGGATTTGCCATTAGTAAATATGAAGCAAAAGCTAGTGTATTAGCCGTTGTTTCGTGGCCAGCAATAAGAAATACTATTGCTTGAGCGACGATTTCTTCATCATTTAGGTTTGCTTCAATCATTTGTTGTAAAATATCTTTTCGACAGGGTATCCCTTCCTTTAAATTTTTTCGACGTTCCCTTATTACACGTTCGACTGTTGTTACTAATAGACGAGTCGAATTCATGATACCTCCTCCAATGACAGGCTCGAAAATTTTAAATAAACGTGATGCAAAGACAACAAAGAATTGAACTAAGGAATTAGTTTCTCTAAATAAAATCCCTGCAGCTTTTGTAAGTTTAGCTTCTTGTTCTTTTGACTCAAATTCAATTCCAAATGCTGTAGCTAAAATAACTTGCATGGTATATCTACCGTATGGCTGCCATATATCGATAGCTTTTCCTTCAGCCTCAGCTTTCATTAATTTATGGACCAAATCATCGCTGGCTACTTTAATAAACGGAAGAATGGTCTTTAACTTTAATGCACTAAAGGTCGGAACAAGAGTGGTCCTTACCCGTTTCCAATCTTTATTATCCAATTGCAGTAGCGACTTATTGAAAGGTTTAATTGTATTCGATAAAGAATACCGGTTAGTAAAATTAGTAAAATCTTTGACCATTATTTCTTTAAGCATATCTGGATCGCCAACCCATATAGTTGGAGCATTAAACATAAATGTACCATAGACATTGCCATATTGTTCTTGTCTCTTAACCTGAGATATATGTTGTTCACTAGATCCATAATCCAAAACGTTACCAATAAAGGGCTTCGGAATGGGCATTTTAAGACCACACTTTGTTAAACGTTTGTATGGAACGACGTAATCGTTGTAAAGTTTAACTACAAATGTGCAAAGCAACAGTACGATAAATAGTTGAAATAGTACATGTTGTAATGTAAATGATGAGGTTAATATCTCTTCTGCGGCCATAGCGAGCTTGCCTTCTGAGATTACTGCTAATTAATTGTATTAAATAACAAAGACTTATTAGAAGTACGATTACTTATTATATTAGAACAGTACGAGCAGTTAATTTCGAACTTATAAATACTTTAATCCACATTTGTAAGTGATGTTCCACGCCAACAGATCAACTCACTTTATAGAGCTTTACTGCAATGAAATTTTTCTTATAGGCTTTTAAATTTATCCTAATATGGTAATGTAGAACGAAAAAATGATGTAATTAGTGCACAGAACTTACAATAGCCATGACGCAATTCTTTCATGTGTGTACTATTGTAAATAATATCACATTCGAATTATTCTAGTTCTGTATGATCAAATATTACAATAGATTACGCCAAATCAATCGATGAATAGTTATTTGTTCTCGCAATAATCTTCGGCTTAAGATAAACTATGAACCTTTGACTATATTAATGACTCTCGTAGCTTTAAATAGCGGATATTTAAATGTCCTAAAACATGCTACGATGAGTTTTATCGATGGTAAAATCTTGCGGTAATTATTTTAATAGCGTTCCATCTATACGTTTTTTCTAGGAAATATTACAGTTAAAATTATGATTTATCAGCCACTTAAATTCTTAAGTTACTGATGGTCTGACATTATCAAAATCTGTGCTTAGCTTACTGTTAACAGTTCTGGAAGCTGAATGCAGCAAAGTGAAATAACTCTACTTTAAGTGAGTATTTCTGATCTACCCGTATCACAAGAGTGTTGTTAAGTCAGGTAGATTTAATTGCAATCGTGCAGCAACTAAACTCTTCGCATCTATACTACCTACTCTAGTTCCTTTCGGACGCACCGTTATTCATATGTAAATTGATTCGTGTTGCTTACTGAATCAATTTACCTATATCTATTAATTTAAATGCGTAACCTATATGTAAGATGACTGGATAACATTTACTGCACGTAAATTGTACACTATTTTATGTACTGTTCGAACTGTCGGCATGTGATACTTCGCATACTTAATTAGTATATCCCGTAAGATGTAAAGCAAAAGGCAAACGTCAGATACGAAAGTACTGTACCTTAGAATAGTAATATAAGGCAAATTTCAGCAATGTTGATCTATCTTAATCATGATGCAATACGGTGCAAGTTTACCATAGTCCATAGAATCATAACTTCGCCTAATTTTAATAGTAGATTTATTCCACCCATGATAGATGTACAATTACAATGTTATAGTGCCAAATTTTTAATACCATACACATACAATCTTAGGTTATGTCCTTTACAGTATTTGGCAGACTAATCTTCCTCGAATTTCTTATTGGTGATACTTCGCATAATAATGTTACTTACAATATTATATATATCCATAAATTTCAGCCAGCAAATTGCGGTGTCTTCACTGTAAATAACGTGAAACATGGATAAATTCTTGACTTTATTATGCACACAATATCTCATGATAAATCTTGCAACATAAACATTCTAGAACAGTGGTCCTGTACTAAGATCTTTAATTTTAGTTCCTGTCCTTTATGCATGCTTATTACTATTGATACTATCAAATTTATGAAAGCTTTCTGAGCTCATAAATTAACTAAATCTGCACTTTAAAGGGTAGTTCAGATTTGGTTAAAAATTTCTGAAGATACTCCATGCCATAATTGAGATTCTGATATTCAAAATCAAAATTTATATTATTTATTTTGGAAGTCTTCAAAGTATTGAAGTCTTGATGATCACTTTTGGATTTGAGATTAATCAAGAATTGCCTTCATTATACTCGTATAATGCAAATTAGTATCGTTTTCTGAAGCCTAAGTTAAGCTCATTTGCAGGCGATAATGTTGATGCAGTTCTCACTTGGATGGGAATAACGGTATCTTTAGAAATTATCAGTTCAAAATTTTGCAGAATACTAACTAAGGCTATTTTAACTTCTAGCATAGCTAAACGTATACCCAAACAATTGCGTGGTCCGCTTCCAAATGGTAAATAACTATAAGGATGGCGCTTAGATTTTTCCTTAGACGAAAATCGTTCTGGCATGAATTGATCAGGATTAGGCCAGAGTTTTGGATTGTGATGTATAGCATAGATTGGGATGCCAAGCATAACACCTCGACCTATTCGAACGCCATCGATAACCATAGTTTCCTTCACGTCCCGATTAACAAAATAGACTGGAGGATACATTCTCAAAGTTTCGGCAATAACCATTTCAAGATATTGTAAATCAAATAAAGCATCGTAACTGATACCTCCAATAGCTGGACATATAGTATCTATTTCTTCTAGTAGTTTCTTTTGAACATTAGGATTAATTGCAAGCAAATAGCAGGCAAAAGCTAGTGTATTGGCTGTAGTTTCATATCCTACAGTAAGAAATATAACTGACTGAGCAACTATTTCAGCATTTTTAAGCTTATCGCTATCTCCTGCTTCAATCATTTGCTGCAAAATATCATTTCGGCAAGGTATACGTTCTTTCAAATTTCTTCTTCTTTCTTTTATGACGTTTTTAGCGGTATTTGTTAAGTATTCTAATGAATCGTCAAACTCATTCTTAACAAAGGGTTTCAAAAATTTATAGAGAGGACCACATATAAAAATTAGGAGCCGCTTTAAACTTCCAGCTCCTCGAAATTGTGCAGCTGCTGCATTAGTTAGCTTCCGCTCTTGCTCTTCTGATTTAAAATCCATTCCGAATGCTATGACCAACATAACTTTCATACTGAATTTACCACATTCACGCCATATATCAATAGATTTTTGTTCCTCTTCTGCTTGTGCAATTGTACGTATTATAGACCTGCAAGTATCCTTTACTAATGGAACTATAGCCTTAAGTTTAGATACACTAAATGTTGGCAGCAGGATGTTTCTAACGCGTTTCCATTCTTGATCTTTTAATTGTAACACGGAATCGTCAAATGGAGGCCTAGACTTTACAAAACTAAATCTATTAGTAAAATTTGAAAATTCTTTAACAGTTACTATTTTTAATATATTAGGATCGCCAATCCATATTGTTGGAATGTGAAAAAATAGCGTTCCATTCACTGTACCAAATCTTTCCTGTCTTTTGACCTGGGCTATATGCTGATTAGTTCCTCCTTCATCGGTAACATTACCTATAAAGGGTTTCGGTAACGGCACTTTAATTCTTAATTTCTTTAAGTACCATAAAGGAGAAATGTAACTGGTATACAGTAATCGAAAAAAAGCCAGAATAATGATTATTGCGAAAGTCTGTGAAGCATATTGATGCAGCCACAAATAGCTTAAAAAGCGGTAGGATGCCATTTTCGAGTTGGGCACGTATAATATGTATTAATAGTGTGGCTGATAGTTGCTGAAATGATAATTATAATAATTATCAAGACTAGTCCTTATTATCTTTGCGTGAAGCTTTCTTTATTAGTTGCAACTGAGCAGCTCTGTTGTGTGTAATATTGGATTATTTATTACCTAAATTACAAAAACTTGTAAGAAGCTATAGATTAGCTCTCAATTTTTAATGGATTTATTTAACAGCTTAAAGCTTTTTTGCTGATTTTGCAGAAACAACTAAAATGATAACAGTTCCTACTGCAAGTATTCATTACATCAGGTTAAATTTATTGCTGACTTTGCAGGCATGATAAAAATAGCTACTGTACTTGGTTGCGGTAGCAACGTAAATATGGGTGTGAAAACTAGCTAACTATGTAAATAGATATTTGGTAATTATTTCTGGCTTGAATACTATCAGATTCTGTAAATAAATAGCTAAATAAGCCCATAAGCAGAAATTCATTCAGTGTTAATTCGTTACAAGTACATTATGGAACGATGAGTTGTCAGAGTTTAACTTAAAATATTTTAAGATCGTAAAATTCCATTCTCAGTTGTTATACATAATTTAAAGGTGCAGCATTTAGTTTTAATAAGTCATAATTAATTACTGCAAGTTAAGAATATCCATTTTTTAGAAAAGTTGTATTCTTAGCTCAATTAAGTGCGGTACTTGTTGAATAATTTATAGTAGATATAGTTCATCATAAGCATGGTAGTTTACAGTTTTAGTCATAATTATAATTATCAAGATATATTACGGTAGTTATATTGATAGGATGCTCAAATTTTATATTAGTATTGCCACTGTATCATTTTAGATACAGAAGTTTGCAATACTCGTAAATACTTTTGGATACGACCAATTTCTTTTTAGATTTTATACGATATTGTAATGTGATACGATAATTCTAAAGTGCTAATTAATATTAAATACAAACAAAAGAGTTGGCTATCTATTAATTAAATTTTATTCAGCTTTTGTCCGAATAAGGCAATTTTAATCATGTAGATAACATACCTATTATATTACGAACTATGTACATATTTATTGATAATGGAAATAGTGATATAAATCTATTAACAGGATTCATAATAACGTGCCGTACTTAAAAATGTGCATTTTTCAAATACAAATATAGTTTTAACACTAAACTGTCCTATTAACAACGCTATCGATAGAAAATTCACACTGTTAAAATTTCATTATAGTAGAATTTAATAATTTATTGGTAAACATGAAAGCTAAATAATGCCATAGATCAATAAATTATGAGCATTTTTCAAGTGCATTCAATCCAATGACATGCACCAAAAAATTCAAAGAAAAAGGCAAAAGGCCAATATTTTGGCTTTGGTTTTTGCGGTAACTGCTAGCCTAATATGCTAGATGAGTACTTTATAAAATAATAAGGGCAATATACTAGTTGCAGATAGCAGTTACATAATTTCAAACATTCATCTAGCTGTATAATTTTTAGTGATTAGTTACAGCGTAAAAATAAAATATGCATATAAGATGATATACCGTGAATAAATTATTCACGTAATATATACGCGTATATATCTTATTATAGGTGCCGTGCTGTTAATAAGATTGACCAATAGTATTATAACACCATTATAAAAGAGTGCTTCAGTTTTAAACATTGCTTATCGCAGCACTGCATGTAATCCAATAGTTTTCCGTTTAGATATAGAATGATAAAACTAATAGAAATTCTAGTGCTTTTCGCAAGCTGATATTATAACATCAAGAAGGCTATACTCAAGACTAAAGTACGGCTAGGCTTACGTTATAGTTATACAGCAAATTATCATATTACAATATGAACCAGATTAGTGAAATATTCTACGAGTTCATATAAACGCGTCGTTAAGTACATTATTTTTTTATATCTGCAAACATTACTTACAATATACCCATATATATGTACTCGTATATAATCCTATATTACATAAAAAATTTTTATCCAAGTGCATATGTGCTTTGGTTACTAGTAGTGATCTTCGATCAGATTGCGACGCTTAATTAGCGCAAGATGATGTAGGATTACATAAATTCTAGCATGGTAGTAGATAAAATGTAGTTAACTAGAATCTACTGATAATATGATATTTATTGCAATAACCACTAATTAATTAATTACTAATTTATTTTTATAACAAAGATTTAACATATCTTTACTCCTCGTTTCCATCCATCGATCTAAAATCATTTTTAAAAATTATCGCCTTCTACTTACTCCAACAACTACTCCATTAATAGGAGAGATTGTATTTCCACTACGCAAAGTTAGAGGTATTTCTGTTTCCGGTACTGCTCTCATTTCAAACTTTTGCATAATTTTAACTAGAGCAAGTTTTGCTTCTAATAAGGCCAATCGCATTCCAACACAGTTACGAGGGCCATTGCCGAACGGCAGGAAACTACAAGGTGCATGCTTTGCCTTTTCTTTCGGCGAAAATCTTTCCGGTATGAATTCTTCCGGGTTAGACCATATCTTAGGATTATGATGTATAGCATAAACAGGGATACCAATCATAAGATCTTTGGTAAAATGTACACCATTAATTGTAGTATCCTTTTTTATGTCTCGATTGAGAAAAAATGCAGTAGGGTAAAGTCTTAACGTTTCGGATATTATCATGTCCATATAAGGAAGATCATGGAGGGTATCATACTCAATCGAATCCAAATCTGGGCATTTTGCGTCAATCTCATCTCTTAATTTTTTCTGTATCTCAGGATGAGTAGCGAGAAGATAGCAAGTAAATCCTAGCGTATTTGCAGTGGTATCATAACCTGCAACAAGAAATGTAATAGCTTGAGCAAGGATTTCGGCATCGTTTAATTTATCATCATCACCGGCTTCAATCATCTGCTGTAAGATATCTTTACGACAAGGAATGCCTGCTTTAATATTTTCTCGGCGTTCTTGGATAACATTTTCAACGGTTTTAAGTAAATAGCGTACTGATTCAATAATTTTGCCACCTAATAATGGCTCAATTAGACCAACTAGGGGCATAAGATAGATAAAAAGAAACTGTACTACACCAGTAATATCACGAAAGAACATGCTAGCAGCTTCTGTCATTTTTTTTTCTTGTTCTTTTGAATCCATTTCTAAGCCGAACACCGTAGCGAGTGTTACTTTCATTGTAAACACACCACATGTACGCCATATATCAATTGGTCGGCCTTCCTGATCAGCTTTAGACAGAGTTACAGTTAAATCATTTCCGGCATCATTTAGAATTGGCATAAGCGATTTTAACTTGGAAGCACTAAAAGTTGGAATTAGGATATTTCTAACGCGCTTCCAGTCTTGATTTTTGAGTTGAATGATCGCTTTGTCGAACGGAGGCCTTGGTTCGTTGAGATCATAACGATTTGGAAAGGTTGAGAAGTCACTAACAGTAATGACTTTCAATATTTCGGGATCTCCAACCCATATAGTTGGTATATGATAAAAGAGTGTTCCGCATATACTACCGTACTTTTCTTGTCTCTTAAGCTGTGCAAGATGCTGATTACCCGAGCCATAATCGAAATTGTTACCTATTATTGGTTTCGGAGGAGCAACTGGTATGCCCAATCTTTTGATACGCCAATAAGGTAATAAGTAATTTTTATAGATGAATCTCAAAGATAAAATTAGAATAATCGAGCAAAATAGCTGGCAGAAGGATTGTAGATACCCAGACATAATTGTGCGTAATTTAGTCAGATAAAATTAGTAAAAATGCGTCATAAAATATAGATTGTAAACGACTCCTTGTTGCAAGAACAGCTGTTATAGCACCAACGTTAGTCAATTTTTTTCTAGTTATATCCGATAGTGCATCCACCGCTTAATTATTTGACGCTATTCTGACGGTTTTCCAGTAAGAAGCAGCTTACTCTAGTAGATAAAGTAAATTATTTGTCTGCTTTCATCGCTACAAGACTATTTCCTAGCAATTTGCTCTGTTAATAATATTAAACTATAAGCTCGATTAACAGACCTGCTGATAGTAACGTGATTGATAGTAAGACCTGATACTATATACAGTACTATACGATACAATACGGCTTGTACATATTAGACTGTATAATAACGGATGCTCTACCATAGACTTTTCAATTTTTTCTCAAATACATTTACATTAGTACTAATTCCGTCGACTGTTTTTATGTATTGGTGTGTAATCAAAGTATGACGTCATTTATATTGGAAATAATTGCTTAGATGATAGTATAATTTTATAGTGCATTCTGTCTATCTACTCGTATAGTGCTATATCTATCTGTTAATGTATATATATATATATATATATATATATAACATATATACGTATACTATACTAATCTATATCGATCTATATTGTCTTCAGACCTTGCTGAATACGATATGACTGCTTACGGAAATTGGATAAACGGCCAGTAAAACAGAAGGCAGATAGTTAGTAATGGCTAGAACCAAGTGCTTATTATACTGCATAGGCATAATAAATACTTACTTTGCCTTTTAAATCAACTATCTGCATAATTTTGCCAATATAGCAAGACAGTGAATAAAGCATCACTATCGTACGTTGTATACTAATCTTATCGTCTATAAAATCCTAATAGTGACAGAATTCTTTATTTCCTAACCTGCCTGATAAGATTCAAGTATGGACAAATGAGTACAATGTATTTATCCGTTATTAGCAAACATAGCCTAGGCTATTTGGAAGTTGGAATGTTCTTAGGTATGCAATCGATTTTTTATACTGCTACACCACAATCTTGGATAGATTGGCAAGCATCCGAATACTGTAGTTCTTTTTAATGAAGCAATGACTACAATCTTATGACAGTTATCGCACAGTATCCTTGTTCATTAATGATATGAAAATCAGGATAAAGAACAGGAACTGCATTATGAACTGATTGCAATTTATTTTATTTTTATGATAGCTTTGTCATTACAATCGCACTGATTGGATATGCAAACCATGCATTTTGAGTCATGATTTAGATAGTCCTCGGTAGTTGTAAAACGAACCGAATAATATGCAATAAAAGTGAAGGTACATGATCACAAGGGTTTTACAACACAACGTTGGTATATTGCATTAAAAGAAGTGGAAAAAAGTGAATATGAGTAAATTATAATTGCAACCTGAGTAAGTCATTGTCATTACAATCGCACTGATTGCATATGCAAACCATGCATTTTGAGTCATGATTTAGATAGTCCTCGGTAGTTGTAAGACGAACCGAATGATATGCAATAAAGTGAAGGTACATGATCACAAGGGTTTTACAACACAACGTTGGTATATTGCATTAAAAGAAGTGGAAAAAAGTGAATATGAGTAAATTATATTATAATTGCAACCTGAGGAAGTCAAGGGGTGTTTTAATTCATGCTACCTACAGTATGCAAAGGATACAGTCCATTATAGTACGTACTGTAGACTCTAGCAATGTACTGTAGTGGGTGAAACCTTGGGCGTTTTCGGAGCGCATGCGTTCGATTGGTGCAGAAGTAGAGTGGAACTGTATAGGCCTGAATCCCTGACTCAGGCATGGTATAGAGGAAAGTAGAGTGTTGGAGCTGGTGGGAAGGTAGGCGCAAGGTCAGTCAGAGTACTGTAGTCGATTCGGCTGGCATGCAGTAAAGTAAACAATCATCTCATCGCTCAGCGCTGTTTGGGAAACCTTGTGCTATTGCTGCTTCCTTTCCTGTTTTGCCCTTTTTTCAGTCTTAATACGATAAGTTGAAGAGTGGATAAGATCACTTATAGTAAAGATGGAGATTACATCAAGGTATAAGATGGACGTTGTGCAGTTTCCCAATGTTGTCGAACTGGCATTTGCTAACATCGAACGGTTTCGGGATAGACGACTCTTTGTAAGAGACGAGAGCAAATTACGTTGCAATTTTGAACTTTCATCATAGCGTTTATTGATTTGTGATAGAAATTCATGTAAATTAATGAGTATCCAGATCTTTTGGAACAAACTAAAGAGAATGCAATGCTCGTATAGTAGCAATTTCGCTCGTGACACTTAAATATGCTGTATATTATTTAATATATGATAACAACAGTTTGCGGCCCAATCAATACGGTAAGAGTGTACGTACTAAACAGTATAACACAGTAGTTGGCATTGCAGGAAGAAGTAATTGCTTTTCTGTAGCAGTTTAGGCAAATCATTCTACACGTTATCTTGAAAATAATGCTAAAAATAGTGCTCAGAAGATAAGAGTAATGATAGTTGTACACTTACTTGTAATAGAGTTGCTTATGCTCCTTTTGGGGGGCATGCATAACCTGTGGACGCCAATACTTTACAGTCGACGGTTGATTTGCACGGCAATCAATGGTGATTGAACATTGAAAAGATGTCCATCAATTGGATGCCTTAATAAATTAATCATGCTTATTATCGTGCTGCTTATACCCGTATCAGTAATAATGATAATCTGAAAGTATGACATGTAAACTGATTGATACTTGCACTACGTTATGCCGTCAGTAAGATCACTTGTCTACGTATGTTAATACGTATCTATGCGATGCATGATATTACAGAATTACAGCTGATTAATTTCGATTTCTCTTGAAGTATGATTGATGCAAATTTAGACGCTTGAATTCTTGTACATAGGAGTATGCACGCTCTTTCACTACTACTCAAACACTTTTGAGATCTCTCAAATAATTTTGTCCTATTTTACTAAACGGTTAAATAATCGTATATACTGTAGGTGGATGGAATAACTGGTCGGTATATCACATTTGGACAATTTCGTGATCAAATACGCCGATTTGGTTCATATTTAATGCAAAATGGTTTCCGTAAAGGCGATTGCTTAGCAATTTATTCTACAAATGTATTAGAATATGCTGCTGTTTATATAGGAACTTTGTATGCTGGCGGTGTTGTTACAACCAGCAATCCGTTATATACTGTCCGTGAACTCAAGCATCAGTTCGATATTACCGAAGCAAAATATGTTGTTACTAATCCTGAATTTGTTGATAACGTTGAAGAAATTTGTAAGCTTGTGTAAGTCAATTTTAGTGAAAATTATGATAAAATAGTGCAGTCCTGTTAATGGCGCACGTTTCTATTCATTCAGCTGTTACCTCAAGTTATATTGAATTATAATATCTATTCTACGTTATTTGAATCTCTAAGCAATGGTGCCGTACGTTCCTTTTTAAAATCATATTACTGTATTGTATTTCTCATAATAGTAGCAGGCATTCGACTGATCTATTCCTAGGTTTTGATTGATTACTGTTAATGTAATCGTAGTCGATAAGCAACAAACAAATTATGCTGTTGTTTCATATAATTGAATAAAACAGTCGAATTAATAGTAAGCTGTCCACTCGCTAATATGAAGACATAAATTCTCGTCATATAAAATCTAAATCTTGTTACTTAAATGAATTGCATAGCCCTATTAAAGAACGCTTTATTATTGGAGAGCTGGATGGATTTACAAGCATACGCAATATCTTAGAAGACGATCGATTAACGATTCGATTACCAGCCAGAACAATGGCAGAAGATGTCGCGGCTGTCCCCTTCTCAAGTGGAACTACTGGATTAGCCAAAGGTGATTGTTGCCGTGCATTACTTAGCGATAATGAACCTATTGAACTTATGAGTTATTAATATTGCAAGACAACATGATAAATAGTTATTCGCCAATATATAACTTATCTCCTAGTATCGACTTGTCTTCGTAGGTGTTTGCTTGACACATCGCAATATCGTTACTGCCTGTCAGGCGGCTGTTAGCCCAGAACAATTTCTTTTGAAAGATCCTGAGATCTTTTTGTGTGTTTTGCCACTTTATCACATCTTTGGAATGATCGTCTGCATGCTAGCGCCTATATACTTTGGCGTAACCGTAATTATGTTGCCTCGATTTGATCCACAAGTATTTTTAAAATGTGTGGAAAAATACAAGGTATTGTTTCTGTAATTTTTCTCATTGTAGGTACAACTTTAAATTTAAAGTACTGTATAATTTGGCTGTATATCCATAGTAAAATTAAATTACTTTTATCTAATGCGCCGCTCATTGTATGAAATACTGTATATCGCATGATTTAGTGAATATTTTGGAATAATTAAATAAAATTTAGGTAACATACGCACCGTTAGTGCCTCCCCTTGTCGCATTTTTTGCTAAGCATCCTATGGTTGATAAGTATGATATCTCATCGATGTGGCGATCATCATGCGGCGCTGCTCCATTAAGCAAAGAACTTCAACAAGCAGCTGAAAAACGTTTAAAAATCAAGATATTGCAAGGTTTAATTTTAATTGCATTTAGCAAAATGTTTTGATGATATTACTGACCTAGTCTTTAGTAACTGTATATGCAAGAATTCTGCTGCAGTGTACAATTTTCTTTATTGATAAATTAGGTTACGGAATGACCGAAACTACAGGTAGTGGTCACCTTAATCCATATAATTCTATCAGACATGGCAGCGTTGGACATTTGATTCCTTTCATGAAATGCAAGGTATAGACAATAATTTTTAATCGGTTAATAGAATGATCCAATGATGTTTGCTACTGTTTAGTGGATTGATATAGTTTTAGTAAGAACAGCAGATTAAGTTTAGTAGCGACCTTATCTTTGAATCGTAAGGACCTTCTATGGCTATTTATTTAACTGCTTTGCAAACTTAGGTCATTGATGTATTGACTGGTGAGACATTAGGACCCTACAAGGAGGGTGAAATTCTGTTGAAAGGTGCAATGATAATGAAAGGTTACTTGAAAAATGAAAAAGCCACCCAAAATACAATCGATAAAGACGGCTGGTTGCACACTGGTGACATTGGTTATTACGATAGTGATGAATTTTTTTACGTTGTGGATCGAGTTAAAGAGCTCATTAAATATAAGGCTTTTCAGGTCGAACTTTTATACCTTGCATTATATGTGTTAAATTTTAAATCTGATTATCATATAGTATTAGTATTATTTATAAGTCAATCTTAAAGCTACATTAAATCAGAAATGCTCTAATCTACCATAACAGGTTGCACCAGCGGAATTGGAAGCCTTATTAATGACACACGACAACGTCATGGATGCTGCAGTGATTGGTGTTCCAGACGAAGACTGTGGAGAATTGCCAAAAGGAATTGTAGTAGTAAAGCCTGGTGCATCAGCTAAAGATATTTTGGAGTTTGTCAATAAGAAAGTATCACCACAGAAAAAATTACGTGGTGGTATCGAATTTGTAAAAGAGATTCCTAAATCTGCTAGCGGTAAAATATTACGACGTGTCCTAAAGGAAAGGGAAGCTAAACGTATCAAAAGTAAATATTAATGACTTATCGTTTGGAACCTTGATGCTTATGAGCAGTTTATGATTAAACTATGTGCTCTAAATCCTTAACTACGGTACTTCAAATACGTATAATGCTCGTATCGTAATTTTTAGCAGTCTACCTTTCTATTATTCTAACCAAGATTCTTTGAGTTAAATTTGGTAGAGGAAACTTTACTCTGAGCACTTACGTATGTGCTTATGTTAGCAGGCATTGATATGTAGGTACAACTATATTATCATCTATTTTTCGTCACGCTTTTGATAGAAATGTATGTGTACATTGTCCAGTACATGTATACGTAGTCATAGTCAACATTTTATTGTACAACATGCACAACACGCTTTATACTTGTCCTTAAATCAATCATTCGTATTACCGTTATGGGAAACATTATATTAGCAAAATAAAACCTTCCTGTCTGCTAGCTTTTCTAAATCTAATCGTTTAGAATGTCTCATTAGTCACAGAGATATTTATGTGTGGTCAATCTTGTAACATCTATGCATAGATGACTGAGTACAATGTACATGCTCTCATTGGCAAGTATAGCATAGCTTATTTGGAATATTCTGGAGGGCAGCATTATCAAACAGACTACTACGTAAGTAGTGCCATAGGTTGATTGATTGACAAACATGCATGCATGCAAATAATTATTAGTTTCGGAAGAGCAACTGGTATGCCCAACCTTATAGTACCCGGGTAAGGTAATACGTAATTTTTGTAGATAAAGCTAATAAGTAATATCATAATATTCTAGTAAAACAACTGACTGAAGAATTCCGGTGTAATAAATTCAAATCCAAAGAAAACGTCAGTGGATAGTAATAGCTTAATTACATTTTATTGGGTATCTAATGTTAACGGAGGATAAGAACTAGCTATAGCTATCAACAGAAAGACCTCGCTTTATGTGCAATTGGCAAACACCATCTACCATGTTACAAGTTACCATAGCTTCCTAATGAATACGGTAGGAGCTCCACTAATACTATAGTGCTTTATATTATCGTCTATTTTCCCAAATACGGCATATATGACAACTGGTTATAATGTTCATATACTTTTAGTCGACAATACTATTATAATCGTCATAATTAGATATCTCTACTAATATAGGATCTCCTATATTAACATCAATAGCCATTTAAGTTAGTTAATCTCGCCAACGTTCCATGCGGATTCCAAAAGATTGTTATACGAATAAAAATATCGAAAAGATAGAACTAGTAGAAATTCAACACAGAATACAAACGACGCTATGCATCAACAATAGTTGCTATAGCACCGATATACGAATTTTCAAGTTGATCCCGAGTGTTTAAGCTCGTATTCCTTGCATAAGTATCCAATCGTGCATTGACTGCTTGATTGTTATGGGCTATTTTGAAGCTAGATCCATAAGGAAAAGCTCACTTTGATTGGTAAATTAATTTATGGGTCTACTTTCGTTCCTACAATGCTCATATTTTGGAATTAGTATACTCTGTCAATTTTAAACTCTACAACTCAATTGATAGACCTAATGATTGTTGTTATAATAAACTACTATACGTTCATTACAGCAATCATATCCATGCAATATACCGATATGATATGACTCATTAACTGTACTCATATATAAGCGTAAACCTTAAGATATTACTGTCAGTTCTATATACGAATATAGTGTACGAATGTACGCGGAGTGAGGGTCTACTAGCATCTAAAGATATTACTGTAGGCCAATCTAATATCTGTTAACAATAATGCATACGAGACGGCTAACGGATTTTGTAAGTAAGATTAATTAATGGAGTCATAATATTGATAGAGCGACGGACATACATGCCGTATTGGATAGAAAATGACGGTGTGATTGCAATCAGTTTACAGTAGTAGACTGGACCAGAATATACAAAGTCAAAAATGTTAAGCATGATTCTTTATTAACTTCGAGCAGTCTCGTCCAGCCTAATGCCTAATGTACTGTGGAAGTTACCGCAAAAGCCGTCCTATTGTTTGTAAATATTACATTCTGCAAGCGCTGTTTCTAGTCTGCATTGCAGCTCAACCAGCGGTAGCAGAACTAATTGGCTAGTGATAGCGTTGCCTAATAACGAGAACTCTTTCATGACTCTAAGTTATCATGCAAACTACTCTACTGCCATGGACATTCGATCAACAGTAAAGAGAAAAATTCTTCTCATAACGCCACTTGCGGGATAGATTACAGAAGCACAGGCAATCCATACTTTCAGCAACTGATTTTGATCAGCGCCGGCTGTAAACTCTAGAAACCTCCAAACTTTGCGGTAAGAAGTTTCTCTGACCTCGAAGCCCAAAGAGGAAAGAACCTCAGACGGAAGACAACGTGACTTGCGGATCGTATAGAGTTTGCGCACTATCACTTGCATTTCCTCAATTGCCGTAGCTTGCAAATTATCCAAGCAACCAGTTCAAACTGCAGCTAGCATCTCCTTCTCTTCGCTATTGCTGACAAGTATACTGTTGGAGAACGCATTTAACCATCACTTGGGCTAATTAATCAAATACTCTGTTGCTATTTATGTTAACGAAATTGGCTAGAACTACAAGTGTTGAAAATTGCTAGTACAACATTGTCGACTTGAAGGCAATACTGTAGGTAAGCTTAGCAAGCCCTAGGCTGACAAGATAATGATTGATCGTTCAGTTTTCATCAACGATTATAATGGTAGTGCATAGCATAGAATAAATGATAGTTATTCGTTATGTTATTGATTTTCTTAGGGCTATTTGTGATAGCGAAATAGACCGGGATTGCAAGTGTTGAAAATTACCAGTACAACATTGGCGACTTGAAGGCAATACGTAAGCTTTGTAAATCATAGCTCGATAAGATGATGACTTGATAATCAAGTTTTCATCGACAGTGATATGGAAATGGGATAGCATAGGATAAATGATGGTTATAGCATCATTCCTCTATTCATTAATGCTATTGATTTTCTTGGGGCTATTCATGATAATGAAATAAATCAGAATCAGAAGTATTGAAAATTACTGGCACAACATTGACGATTTGAAGGCAATATGTAAGCTTAGCATGTCATGGCTCCATAAGATGATAACTGGATAGTTCAATTTTCACCGATAATCATAGGGTAATGCATAGTATAGGATAATTGATCGTTATAGTATTATTCTTGACTATCTAGGGCTGAATATTGGGTATCACAACCTAAAAAGTTTTGCGAATTTTGTAAATGCTGGATAACCGACAATAAAGCGGTAAGCCCGTTAATATGTAGACAACATTCAATCAGCTGCAGCTTTTGATGCAATCCTATTTCTAGTTTTAATTATATTGAGTGAATTGTATTTACCATTCCACTGATCCTTCATGGACAATTTAGTAGCGTTTCTTTGTGTATAGATTTCTTGCTGTGATCAAATGCTGTCATTCTACCATTTAGGATTTAGCTCAGCTATTGATTACAATCATATTTCTAGTTCCAGTTTAGACGAGCATTTGTCATCTGTTTATCTTTCCAAAGCAAATTCTTTTTGTAGCAGGCATTACTATATGATTCTTAATAATTATAAATAATCGTTGCATTGGAATCCTGTTAGTAATTAAGTTTCTATAAGGCGTTTCATTGACAATATTGATATAACCTACCTGTATCCTGTACAGATTGCTCAATTGGCTTCATAGTTGAAGACGAGGTTCTTTAGACTAACTTCTGGTTAACCGTATAATCAAAGACAATTCAAAATTAATTGTTATACTGAAATGCTTCTACGTCTCAACGAAACTTTGTTATGTTTAATAATATAATCAATTGGCAATTTAAACGTATCAGCTAGACTACCTTCAATTAACGCATGCATTAAGCATAGAATTAGAATTCAAATTTAGTGTCTTTCTCTTTCATATGCTATGCGTAACTAAGACGATGGATATTGTGTCTGTATAGTTGTTACTCCTATATCGTGATTACGAATTGAACATAAGTAGTGCTGTACTTCTCCTTATAAGTAACACCGATATAATAGGTGCAGTAATTTGAAACAATAATCAAGGTTGACATGAATATGCTGCGCTTACCTTTATTTTAAATATTCTTATACGAATAAAACGGATGTCTATTAAATACTTGATCAAATACTGCTTAATAAATTCATATTTCAATCAATTCCATATCCTTTAATAACAATTGATTGTAGAGTATCGAATTTCACGAACGTGGCGTTAAGCATAAAAAATGCGTTGAAGAAAGAATTCGCGAGGTATCAATTCTTTCAAGTCTACATGATGCTGCTGATACAACGTTTAATTACGCTTGAGATACTACTGTATGCAAGCGTGTACAGGCGTTTTAATAATCCAAGCGATCATTGTACATGTTATGGTAATATAATAGTGAAGTTAGGCCCAATAACTTTTTTATATCCCACTATATACACTAGGCTCGTCATCGCAGCACTGAAAAGAAAAATGCAGAGAAAGATCTCCAGGCTGAATTACAAGCAATCGAAAAAGTACTGCTAAAGTGGATAGATGCGCTCTTTTGCTTTTTCCTAACTACGAAAGATTTATATTTTTTATCCTTGTACATCAGGCAGCCGCTGCTGCATTCCGGGAAGACATTAAAAGTAATCCTGCTTTAGCTCGAGAATTGCCTAGCAAAGGCGCCTACAAGAAGTCGCAATTAAAGCCCCAAGGTGGTAGATATGTTATGTTGTCATTGTACGATTATCAACATAAAACGCTTCATGTAGCTATCATCCTATCATCGACTTCTAGAAACTCTTGCAATACAGAGCTCGCTAGTATGCATTAGTAAAGCACGTATGACATATTTCTCTAATTTGTAATCACTAGAGAATTACAAGGTGCAACCGGTACAAACAGTACCACATTCACAATGCAGTTGGACTGCTCAACTATCTCCAGAAGGCTACACGTATTACTATAATTGGACTACTGGAGGTAGACTCCGATAATGATTCTGCCTCCTTGTTTCAATCTAATATTGGTGATATTTCTCTTTTTGTGCAATTTAGAATCAAAATGGGAAAAGCCCGCCGGATTTATTCAAAATCAAAGGTTAAATTTATCTTAAGTTGAGTTATCATATTTTATTTCTTTCTTTCTTATTTTTAACTTCTTTGCGGCAGTTATTCTGATATGTGACTGATTTAAAAAAATCTAGTTGTCACCATATTAATTTGAGTCTCATTGATTGTTTAATTTCAAAGTTGAATAGGCCCTAAGCTATGTCTAATCTAAAATTTGCATCATTAACATTATAAGTCATTCTATTCAATCGTTTTCATATAACTAACGTCGACTTTTAACTCATCTAATAGTAATTCAAGTAAAGTTGAAAATGCCAGTAAAACAGCAGATAGCAATTCGCCTGCTGTAAGTTAGACTCTTAAGCCCACGGCTGCATCGAATTACATGTAGCCCGACATATAGCTTTTTAAGTATTAATGGCGAAAGTAAACATATTCTACTTATCCATGTTGTAATAGGCTGTTAACGCATTACAAAGGACTTCATAATGGTATAACTGTTGCTAACAATATGATATTATACTAATTTTCAATAAAATTAGCAAAGTAAGATCGACAAGGATAACGAAAATGGAATGACAGAAACTGGAATCAAACGCAAGATCGATAAAGTTGATAGTGGAAACAAGGCTGTTGGAACTGCAAATGCATCTCCCTATGGAGCTTGGGTAACTGTAGCCGTACAGTAAGTTTCATACAATACTAAAATTCTACAAATTATCCGCAGGCGATACGATGAATTTTAACCATAATAATAATAGCTACTTATGTACTATATGAATGTGAGAATTGATTGCCATAATTTTCGTCAATATCACTGTATTCAGTGACGTGGTTGAAAAGAAAGTGGAATCAAAGCCAGAGCCCAAAAAGGAGCTGGTTCCAGCCGAAGAAGAAATCGCATTTAGGCAAAAAACGATCGACTCATTTTCTTCATCTCTACAAACAAATGATAGCGGTGTAGCTAAATTTAAGAAACGTAGTATAAAGTTTGGATTAAAGAAAAATATCCGTCAAAGAGACGATGAATAGCTAAGCAAAGGCGATATACAGTATTTCTGCCCAATCACAGCTAAAATGCTCCATAATTCTGTTCATCGTTTAAGGTGACTTTCACTGGTTTCAAGTTATGTCCAAGCACAGCTATTTTGATTGTCATTTATGTTTCTCTGTTCGGACTGTATTAGTCTTACTAAATGGCTAAATTAATTGTGATGTTATTGCGACGATCATCACTTGTGTATATAAAATTTACATCAACACGTAGTACTGTTTGCATGATTTATATCCCATAAAATTTATTGTTCCACGTATCAAGCATACGAAAAGACTCGTCTAACTATTATGTAAAATTTGTAATCGTTTGTGAATTACTATGATCTGAATATGCTAGGCAATATTTTTGAGCGACCTATCCAATATCATTTGGGCACAATAGCTGTAGATTACGAATGGCTCGATCATGAATATATTTAAAATTTAAATTATAGGCATTTATGATGAAAACTGACAATTAGTATTTTATTATAATCTACGCCAAAGTTACTTAAATTCTCTTATTAACGCCATCATCAAGAAGATGCGACAATATTAGATGGCGAAATAATAGTAATATACCCAGGCTATAGTTTTATATTAATAGTTTTATCATTGACCTATAATATAAAGTTATGAAATTTCTGATAGGGTTTAAAATGTAAATTATAACCCAAAATCCGATTTGTTTTATTAACTAGTCGGCAATAAACTTTATATTACCAACTTTTAATTTAAAAAGTTGCAATTTACAGTTACTGATACTAAATTTCAGGAGTTTACAATTTTTGAATCAGAATTAAAGTAACTTATTAATTGGTTGATGAAATTCTTAAGGATAGTATGAATATCATATTCTAAAGATTTCTATGTTATAGAATGTTGTTTTGGATGAAATATGATTCTTTATGGAGCAATTACTGAAATATAGGCTTTCAATTGCAGTACATCAATTATTTACTTAGGAATAATGCGACTAGTGACCCGCTGATTTCCGACTGAATATTACTTGCATTTATCCAAAACCTTGATATAATTACTATCAAATATATTGTTGTCAAAATACTCATGTTTTACATACTCGTATTCCATGAATTGGATACATAAATTTAATTTAATACTTACTGTTTTATAGCTATAGTGGTAACTAATTTAAATGAAGCAGATCAAATTCTGATAGTATATCAAAAATTGCATAGCGTTAAAAGTCTAATCTGAATCCTATTTCATGTGCTTACGCGCTATAAACTTATGCTAAAATTACCATGTTACTATAATTGTAGAAAATAATTTCTTATTATTTACATGAACTAGAATTCAAGGGCATCTTTTAAATAAGTATTTAGCTTTTATTCCATAATTTATCAAAGTGATACCGATAACTGAGTAACTAGAACTATTACTGGTATACCAAAATTGATACTCTAATTCAACGATACTGTTAATATGATAATATAATAATATAGTTGAAAGAAATGGTAACTGAAAGTTAACCAATCCATGAAATTAAAATTTTTGTGTTTAAAATAAGGAGTACCTGTTGTGATTGCTTACTTACTGTAGTAACTTTCAACAATACTTGCCATAATTTTCTCGATATCAAGTATAGGTAGATGGCAATCAGATAATTAAATTACTATTCCAAATATAATTAATCAATTTATTGGTAGATAATCACTTAAAAATAACATTTACCAAATCTTAATTTAAAATTATAGTTGAAAGTAAGGAATATGAGAACTTAAAAATGTGTATTTAAACTACGGCTAAGCTAAGACAAGCAAGTAAAAATGAAAAGTACATCATGAAATATTAATGTCGTAATTAATAACATAAGTTTATACACTAGTACCGTAGATACCTTATTAGCTGTATTCATACCATCAGAATCAAGAACACGCCAATGGTAAAATTAATGATACTCAAACGTATTTTGGCACACCATAAAAATCGGAGGTTGAAATACCTGATGGCAGGCAAGTAATAAAGACTCCCAGTTATTATACGTATACTATAAATGCAGATGAGTAACTCATGTATTTGCTGCGTTCCACATGAAACAAGGATAATATACTACTGTAGCGATCTTAGCTGCAAATGCTAGGTAATATAAATCAGCCAGTACCGTTAAATGGTTTAATATTATGTTTTTATTAGATCTACTTAGTAGTTGTAATTAGTAAGAGTAAAGCTATGGGTAGTAAGTTTCTAATTTTTTTACAAAATTAGGACATCTGTAGCCTGTTTCATCACAATTTATGATTGTGGACGCATATATTTCCATAAAATCAACAGATTTGGTTAGAAAAGACTACAATATCCATGTAATGTAAACATTCGTTCTTACGACCATTTCTAACTACCAAATCCATGTTTAAAATTGAGACGTATTCTTGGTCAAGGCTTAAATTTTGGATAGATTTGGTATCTCTGTTCATGCTTTACATGGGCACACATTACCTTATATAGCCTTAAATGAAGTTATTTATACGATAGTAAACATTGCTTAACCGCTAATTCGTAATAGCACTTATAACTTTCCAATTTACCGTATTCAGTTTGATATAATCCGATACACCATAAGTCATACTTCGCCAATGTGCCAGTGTATTCGTGGACAAATTACATTAATTAAGTAGGTATATGAATAAGACATGTATCATGCTATTGAATGCTACATTTAGTCTAGAATAGAATCATACAATAAACTAAAAAAGACTTTCTACATTAGAGAAGGAGTTCCTCATAAATCTCCGATATATAACGAAGACATAATCAGAAATCCAGTTTTAAAAGCTATTCAGCAATCGAGATTAATCTTAGCAACAAAATTTAATTATAGTAGTGTTTAAGCTCATAAATTCAATTTTTATTTAGTTAATTAGAAATTTGCTTAACAGACATTGTTTCGTAGTGAATATTTAGATATGCTAAGAAGCATGGAAGCTTAACAGGACGGAAGCTAGCTGAAGTTGAATGTAGAGGAATATACGCTTATTTTAAATTATCTACCCGTGCTGAATGTAGAACATTTATTAATTATGACAGCTACGGTATTTTTGGTTTGTAGACAACTTCCGCAAGGTCTATTTTACTGATATTTCTGTATTAAATAAATTGTTGCATTTGTATCTATAGCACTACTCTAAAGAATGATCGCCTTCGGCTGTAGCTACATATTGAATGAACACATGCAGTTTTAACAACACTTACAATTATTTACATTTCAAATTGTTCATATTTTCGCTCGATATATTGACCTATTTCTACTTTCGTATTGCACATTTGGTGTGAATAACGAATATGCACACAATCAAGGAGCTTATTTTTTAGTATTGTTTTAAATCTACTCAGGTAGCAAATCATCTCCAAGCTCTTCATCGCCAAATTCATCTTCATTTCGCCTTCGGGCAGCGGTTTTTGGTCTAGCCGGTGCATCACCCAATGGATCATTATATGTCGTATCTAACAGCAAGTATGGAGAGCAAACATCTTGAGTATGTTCTATTTTATGCTATCTAAGGTGTTATATAGTACCATCTGCATGATTTATGTATTTCTGTATTACAATTTTAATTAATGTTAATGTTATCATTACCAATTTCTTTACTTTCTTCTTGATGAATTGGATCCGGTTCGTCGCGAATCTTAGCACTTGAATTCCTACTGGTATTTCTGCCACTACCTGCACGCTCTACAAATAATGCATAGAGAAGAAATAGTCGCGATAATGTATTAGCCCAAGAGCAAGGAAGAAATAGAATAATTAGAAAGTAGATTATCATACCACTGCCTGCACTGCCAGATTGTCGACTGCTAACACCATTTCGATTAGCACTGTTAGCTCGTTGCTGTTTAATTTCTTTTGCTTTTTCGGCTTTCTTTAATTTACCGGCATATTCTTGAGCTTCTTTCATGCCAAGATCTGTACATACTCGAACTAAGAACTTAAGACCTAAATAATACATAGACAATTAATATCATCGCTAAAAATCCGTGACATATGTATGCAGCCGTTCCTGTTTAATATTATCGCAAACTAGCTATTATTACTTACAATCGGTGTTTTCCGGGAATTTTTCATGTATTTGTTTGTACTTATCCAATGCTCGATTATAATTACCTAAGGAAAATATAGCAGAATTCTATATTAATATAGTTTATTTTTCTTCTACTTTAGCCTTAATATTTAAGTACAATTTAGTTTAATCAAAAACGCCAACGAATATGGCAACCATATTAAGTTTATCTTTAACTTTTAAAACTTTTGATTTAAAATTATTAATAATGTATACTTTGGCCATTCTCACCGATAATTCGATAACAACTAGCTACCATTAGTTGCCACTTAACTTCATTTGGCCTAAATTAATCAATTTAACTAGATTAGTAAGATAGAACGTTTACTTTTACACAAAATTCAGAAGATATTGCAAAACCTGCTCCAAGCAAACAAATAATACGTTACTGAACAATTAAATATCTTACTGTATCATAGAAGCCTTGTCAAAGTAGGATATTGCCTTCTCACAAAATTGTGATTCTATATAATAACTACCAATCCACGAAATCGTTTCAATATTTGATGGATAATATCTATAAGACTAGTAGAAAATAATCGTATTATATTCAGCATACTCCCAAAAATGTTTAATTTATCCCACTAGTAGTACCTCTAAGTAATATTGAAATGCTTGAGATTTGTCTCCTTGCGAGTCGTACAGAGCGCCGAGTTTGGCTAACAAACTTGCATCAGTAGGTGCTAATGTTAAAACTTGAGTATACCTGTAATAGGTTTTATAAGTAATATTGTAAGCACTAGAGTAAAAGAAAAATTTTCTCATGACTGTATTCTCAATATCTTACCAATCAATAGCTTGATGAAAGTCGTCTAATATCTCATATCTATTTTAAAATAAAATTTTAAAATCATTTCTGTTGTTAATTAACTTTAAAAGATTAATATTTGAAATCAATTTATTCATATCTGATGCTTCTATTATTAAATATAATGATAAATAAATTTCATGTTTGCATCATTTCGAATTCTAATTTTGATATTTGTATGATTATCAAGAAAAATCTCTAGGCAATGATTCAGAATAACATTAATTTCTGTTATTAGGGTAGATAATAATGTTGATACTAGATATTGCCCTACAAATATCTGCTATTATTTACTAAAATTTTATGACTGTCATTGATTAATTGAACTGAAGTTCTTAACATTGCCTTGCCCTTAGCATAATATAACAAACTCGTAAATTACTCAATCACGTTAACGCGTTTCTACGAAATTAAATTCCGAACTTATTATAAAATAGTGTAGCCATGCCGGTTTTTGCTATATTATTGAAATCGATCAAGCAGATACTCTATCAGTCTAGCAAATTTAATCACATAATAACATAAAATTTGAAAGATTCTCTTCTAGAAACTGTAGTATTTAAGCTTATTACGTATGTTTAGACCTTACTGCTGGTAAAATGGATATAATTCTTGATTTAATTTTTGGAGTGAAAAGCGATAGTCACTTTTCAGCAGCATTGTAATTTAAGAAATAGCATACTTTAAGTTGCATTCGAAATTAGCTAGTAATGATATGCAGAATACTATTCTTACTATTTAATAGAAGTTCTAATAGCTATACCATAATTAAGAATTTTATTACTAAAATTTACGTTTCAATTGCATTAAACTCACAGTTCAGCAATTTGAACCAATATCATTGGATCATTACGGATAATGCCATGAAGCTTAAGAAAACAATCCAATGATTCTTCTGGACAGTTTAGCATTTTTTTTGTTAAACCTAAATTATATAACGCTTCGACACAAGAAGCTTCCACATTTAATGCTTCCTTGTAATATTCTTGCGCTTTCTCATATTCTTTTGCCGTAAATAAGCAGTTGCCTTTATTTACCATAGCTACAGATAGAAAAGTAAAAATTTCCCATTAGCGTTCTGATATATTATTTCTTTGTACTAGAAAATTTCTGTTCTTAACCAAAGTCTTCATTAATTGTTATTGTCTTTGCTATCAATATTTCGGAAAATTTTCAATATGTTACTGTCACAACGTGATAATTTAGACTCAAATCAGATTAGTATCTGGAGATCTAAGATCGTAAAACTCTACCTTTATTTCTAAAAGTGATCCTCATTATATGAAGTACTGACAACACATAAACATATCGTTATCGTTGTCGATAATATCAGTCTTATCTTAGATATCGAAAGCTTGATAAATACGAAAACATATACTCTTAGAGAAATCTAATTAATGATCTCCTCTTATCTAAATCAACTATTCACGCCTGTGACATTACACTCATCAGTAAAAAACAACAGTTAATACTTTATACTAAACTTAGCGTTTTAATTAAACAACACGAGCTATATATGTAACCTTTCTAATACTTATATGTCTAATTATAGTAATCTAATCTAAGAAGGTACTATTTACCATACGTAATTTTACAACATACGATTGTTATCTTGAACAAGATTTTATACCGTTTGGATTATATCTGTCAGAGGTAATCGCTAAATCGCTGTATTTCTCTGCAAGCGATAATTCGCCCTCCTAATTAATTTTTTATAGACGAAACAATTGAATATCAATCAACGAAGTTGTAATATCATTTTATAAATATTAAATATGATCACTGTATGAATATACATAATAGGATCAAGTATACCTGAATGTATAAGAAGGCTAAATTGGTGGCAGCTGCCGTAGCCATGGTGGAGTCTTTTTTCTCGAATGATTTTAAAGTTTCTGTGGCCTATTCAGTAGAATCAGGCATTAAATATATAACCTTAAATTTTCATCCTTTTTCATCTTTACATTGCTATCAGTATTATCGTATTATACCTTTGCCAAGTCTTTCATCTTTAAATAAGTAACAGCTTTTGTAATTTCAAGGTCATTTGCTAGCTCAACATAAGGAGAAGATTTAACACAACCAATGCACCTATTATTTGACAGCGGGACATCAATTCAAAATTAGCTTTTGAAATTAAAATGGATTAAAAAGTCTTAGTACATCGATTCATTTATCTTCCATACCAATCAAATCCAGCCGCAAAAGTGGGTTCGATAACTGGGGCAATCAACTTAGCAGCATACATGATACAACGTTCAGCTGTTGATTTTCTGTTAAGCAAATGGAAGTTAAATTACGCTATATTTTATAGATTTTGACTTTAAAAAAGTGATAATTTAAGCAATAAATGTGTAAGAAATAATATATATAGAAGTTCTCAACACACCTTTCACGTTCGACTTTCCATAGTGTATCATTTCTAATGGCTTCATAATAGATATTCATGTCATTATCGTCCTATATTTACATTTAAAGTTCTGCTTAAATATCTTTTAACCTTAACTGTATATCTTTTATCTTAATGATAAATATCTACAGAAAATTATGTTAAAGCTATTTCGGTTTCAATGATTTTTCTATTCAGTAAGAAATTAATATTTAACATTAAATTATTATCATTAGATAATATACATCAATGTAGTACAATAACAAGTTAAGACCAAAAGCAGCATAGAAAGTTGGAAAACTGATACTTTACAATGGCAACAAATGGAAAATTAATAAATTTTAATTCTGTTTTTAATTAAAGGAAGCTATTTCTCATAATACTAATAATTTCGTGGGTTAATGTATTTGAGAATGACAAGTAATCTCTTATTACTTTCAAGCAGCTCAAATGACGTAGTTAGTGACTTTAGTTACAATAATTACTTACGCTAACGGACATGAACTTTTCATCATCACCTACGCCTAAATCTATCATTAGCATTCGTTGGAAAGTCTTTTTCATTTTATCGCGATCGTTGATGGAATAATAGCATACTATTAAATTTAATCCAGTCTTAAAATCGCCCTTTTCGGTCATAATTTGGTCATAAACTGTGACCGCGTCTTCATATTGCCCCAACCGAACGAAAGAAGAGCCTATATTTTGCATTATCTTAATTCTAATAAAAATAAAGACAGATCCTTAGGTTAAATGATACTCATTTACGATTTTACTATTTTTAAAACTTTACGACTGCAATATATTTCCGTTATATTGAATAATTAGTTTTCAAAAATGTTGACCTCATCGTTGTATTAGCGTTAGGGACTTGGTCTAATGCCATCCGATACATTCTAATCGCCTGCTGGTGTTTTCCTTGCTTACTATAGATATTGCCCATATTAACACGTAATCGTCCTAGTAAAAGTTAATACTACCTTATTAAAATTTGGTAAGAAATACGATAACTGTGACTAAACTACCAAATGTACGCTTATAGTACCACTTTAATAATACCTGCATTACTAAACATTTTATTCTTGACTATGACCGAAAATGAATTTAACGCTTCTTGATACATGTCACAGGCTTGATATTGATTCGCTAACACAAATAATACCTAGTAGAGCAATTTTAAGATTTGAATTTGTCAACGACTACAAGTTATTTGATATGTTACGATACCATGAAGCGGACAGTTCGTTAATACAAGATTAGATTATCATTTGCTAACCGAATAGGTCAAGTCTAAATTTATTTGATCACTAAGTCCTGCTTGTTCTCTTTGTTTACAAATCATTCTTTCTCTTCTTCCAGCTTCTTTTGCCTTTTCTAGAGCCTAAAGATTTAATTATTTCATAGATAAACAGGTAAAGGGATCAGTTGAAACTGTCCTAATTAAAAATTTCTGTTTCAAGCAGTTAGCAGTTTATAGACATCTTACTAATTGTAGCTCTCCTCTTTCACCAGCTAGGGCGCTTTCTTCAATCAACTCATTTACTTTCTTTTCCATCTGTCGTATTTTTTCTTCCGGACTATAATTGTATTAGTATCATGTTAGAAATTAACTAATTGATAGCTAAGTAAATTATAATGAAAAATTCTACATATCCATTATCATTCGTACTTATCGTCATATTTCGATTCCAAGGGGGGTGCTGGCCCACGGTTTGCTTGTGTTACGCTTTCACCTGGTACTATAGAATTTTTTAACATTTGAAGACATTAATTTGAAAATTTGTTTATGATAAGTGTTGTTTCGTAAGCGCTATTGTCCATAACGAAAGTAAAGTTTTAAATCATAGGTAGCAGGGTATAGTAATATAAACTAATCTACATTTTCCTCCAGTAGAGTTAAATCCAGCTCCTCGAATAGCCGTCATAGGACGAGCTTGATCTTGATTCTGTATAAAAATATCATCATTAGACATTCGTACAATACCTATTTTATGTTTTACAGCTTTATTACTGTGTATTGGATATCTTGCTTAGAATAAATTCTAGATTAAGCAATTACTTACAATAGCGACACCGGTACCTAATCGCGCTTGGCCATTAGCGCCGCCTTTACTAGCAGTCATAGCAGCAGCGCGATGGCCATAGCTTGTCTTTACAGCCTGTTGGAATTCTGCATCGTCTTCAAGACCCTATAGGATAATTAATTATTTTAAAAAAAAGATTCAAAACAAGCAATCTGTTACGTTAAAAGTAATATTATATGATAATTTAAAATTAAATACAATATATAATATCTTCGTCTTGCGTACATACATATGTTTTTAAAATGATCTAACTTATACTAACTTTATAATCTGTTCTTGAAGTAAATTGGTATTGGATAGCATATTATTCATCTACGACTGCTGGTGATTTATATGGGCTATCGTGCTGTTATTATTTGATAATATAGTATAATATCTGATCGTCATTGTGCGTATACAATTTTGTACTGTATTCCACTAAATACAGTGCTAGTTCATAACATATAATTTCTTCATGCCGATTGGATACTCTAAGAATAAAGCCAAAGTATGAAATATCTTTCTTAATGTATACTTGTAACTAGTACAAGTACTACCGTAAATTATCATAGCTAATGTCATTTTTAAATACTTATTTCTTAGAGGAAGATGGTTCTGTGATATGATAATAATCATTGCAGATGAAATTATACTACTGTGGAAGAGAGAAAATACGCATTATAAAAACATTTAAATATGTAACCAGTAACAGAATTGATCTTCAAAACAAACTGTACTACATGAGCTCCTTCTAGTAAGGATATAAGTTTCGGATTTCCAAATCTCTTTCACTCCAGCTAGTAAGCACCGTAATACTATTAAAAAAAGATTTGGTTCAAGTTGAATTAATACCTTTTGGATGTAGTTTCCATTATCATAACCGCTGTAAAGATCTTCATCATCATCCTCTTCGCCAACTAAATGAATCCTTTCACCCATCATTTTGAAATATCCGAATTTCGATCAAGTTCTACTTGTTACTAAGTGCTAATTTTACTGGCCAAGTGATCTACCGTTGTACGTATTACTGGATCAACCGTTTACAAAACAGTTTTGTCATCGATTTCTGTCAGAATTAGTGAGATAGACTAGTCATTTACACCCTACATGATGTCCTTTTTTCTTCTCCTTTTGGAATCCGTTTGTTTCCATGGTAATCCCTTGCGCGCGCGCACAACTGGCGATTCTCCATCATGCGCAATACTATACCACGGACTACTGCCTTAGTGCACTACCACAGTATACCTGCAGTATCTTAGTACAGTACAGTCCAAGCTCAGTACTGCACACTGTACCATGTTGTTATTCAATACTCAGGGTAAGTTGCTTAAACGATAATGCACTCTCGCAGTCTATTTATTACTCCAATTTTATGCCTGTAATATCGTTTCCACAGTAATTTTAGTCCACAGAGGAATCCAGTACTATAAAAGCTTTTTATTACAAGGTTCTAAAGAATAGTACAGCAATAATTAATTACTCACAAGAATCTAGTCTAAAGTAATCTGAGCTCAATTAGATATCAAATCTTTTCTCCCCTCCTTACGCTCAGATTTGTACACCTTATATACTTTTCTCTGAATCTATTTAAGGCAATAACATCGTCTACAATCAGACATGAATCATCACTACATTTTACAGTATTAATCAAACTGCTTACAATATTATTACTTTACCATTAATGTCCAACACCGTAAGGTATTGGGCATCTTTACAATCTTAGTATTTCAAGTCGTATAACGTCCTGTACCATAATTAGTTAACAGCTATATTAGTGAATAACACTTTCTAATATAGTAGTTACCAGTCACCTAAATCTAGCAGCACAAGAATATCTATTTTTAGAAACTTAACTATTCTAAATATAGTACGCAACACAATCAAATATAGCTATCGCTACAAGCAAATATAGGGTGCATCACTACAATGCCATTTTTCAAAGTGTAAGATGCTGCACTAACGTCATTAATTAAAGTCAGTACTGTATATGCCGTCTAAAAAAAATCTTCCTTCTACTAAGTATTGATAGGCAGAGGTGCAGCACACAGTACGCACGCGTATTCGTGCTCGATTTTGCACGGTACGGTCGTGTGTCAAAACTTTTGAATAACAGTACAGTACAGTATTGTACGGCATAGTACTAAGTACTGTAGTCCAGGACGAAATGGACTGTACTAGACTGTACTGCAATCTGATTATTTTCGATGTTTTGCCTTCCTTAAAAAATGAAAGTTGTATTCCGTTGAAATTCCTGTATAGTATTTAGGGGAAATTAATATAACGCCACCCCAATTTTCCCTAAATATTTCTATATACCCGTAGAAGGATATCTCCGAAGATAGATTATCATGATAACATGAACGTACTATGTCAATAGATAGTAATAAAAATCGTTTTAATGGCGGACCGTTATTTATAGTGAGGCATGTATGTGTATTTCTTGTTCTGCGCTCTGTACTGAACATTGTACAACTAAATTTCTTACTAATCAACTAGTCGATCCCATCCCTCTTGGCCTTTCAAGCACGTAATACGAACTACCTATTACTAATATTGAATCACAGCACTGCACAGCTGGGAAACTGCACTATAGGAGTAAAAACAACTTAAATACAAGGAATTGGTAATAAGTTTAATTGCCATGATTTGGTTTGAGGTCTTAACTTAGAAAATAAATAAGATCGTACAAAAAATACTATAGCAAAATACTGTACAGTAAAACATACGATGATGATAATAGAATGTGAATAGGAATGTTCAAACGACTGTATGCTTTTCACTTAGATAGTGGCAGAATGCGCTTTACAATGCATCTTACAATCCACGATGCTGCTATTTATACCTGTAGCTACTTCTTTTACCTTCGATCTATTCAAAGCTACTGTATGTCTTTTTTACACTAAGTATGCTCAGCATGAAGTAACTGTAAGAACGCAAAGTGCAAGGTACGCCAAGTAGAACAAGCAAGGGATCCACTTGGCATAGAATGAAGATGATACCTGATACCATTTTGGCTAGTCAGTGTTTACAGCACCATAAATTATCAAGTCTGAGTGTACCATCTGTGCTATATATAAAACTATCACCGACCACAAGATACGACAGTAGTTCATGTCACAGAATAGCCTATGACACAGGACCTACTGTATAGCATAGGCTATGAGGCTGCCAAATATTTCCCAGCTAATGGACTTTAAACTCTGACTGTAAATAAATATGTAAGATTGTAAACGTTGCAGGTTTACTGGATAGAAAGTTGTTTACTGTTAACAAATACGTACATTCAGTAAAGGACTTATACCCGCTAGAGACACATAAATTGCAACAATACTGAGGTCAAATAATTACTTTAGACAAAGATAAGCAGAATAATATGACAGTATTTTGATATTCCAGCAATAGTTTGCTAACGAGTTGGCATCATTAGCATCGACAGTGCCGTTCATTTATAGATGTAATTCTTTACGTAAGATCATAATCTTTGGCCATGATATCCGAGATGAAGGTATATTATACGTACATGGCTTAAGTTGACTTTTACTTTCCGTGTCGGTAGGCGACAGCTTGATATTTGTAGCGCTATTTGTACCATGCTACTAGTCAAAACAAAACGGAGATAGATAACAAAAGATCAGTAGATTTCAATATCTTAACTTTCACGATGTTCGCTGCAAAAGCACGACCAAAATAATAAAGTTCACTTATTTCTGTTGTATCGTTATATACGTGCACCTACACTCAAACAATTTTGACACTCTCTCAAGCTGCAGTACAACACGCTCTTAATTCCTATTCAGTTACTCTCATTTCCATCTAAATGCAATAATTTATATAATACCAACAGATCTGTCAGCTTTGGCTATAACTCATAAAGGCTCTGTATTACTGGTAGAAGCGATGCAAACTGAGGTATTCATTATTGTGATTTGTTCAGTCTGATCGGAGCAAGATGAACAGATATCTTAATTATTATCCCCTTTATGAACGATGTGTTTTGTATAGTTATTTGATAAAGTAAATTATAATTAAACATTAGTAAACTCCATAAACATGTTACAATAGGCACTAATATCCTACTTCATCAACTCATATTAATGACAATTCTACTTGATATGATAATTAAGAACCATTATAATTACTATTAACTAACGATGACAAAACAAATAAAATTATTTGATCATTCCAAGGGCTGTTCATTTTTTCCACTGCGATATTGCAAATTCAATAACTAATAACATCGACGGGTTTAAGAATGGCGAGCGTCGCTCATAAAGTTGCTTTAATTACAGGTAAAAGCTAATGACATCTCGATATTCATGCTTGTAATTTTTTCGGCCTACTTTAGATAAAAAGAATTGTGTCGATTGTTGCTTAGTCTACTGCATAATATAAATTTGATTAAAATAGTGAAGGCTATAAGTTGATTAACAACGTAAGCTAAATTAAGTAAAAAGAAATCGTTGATTGCATGCACTCCTTTTAATCTTATAACTTAAAGATAGATCAGCAACATGAGTACAGCACCTTATTTTGTGTACCTATAACGACCAACTTTCTTTACAAATTAACAAAGTAGTAAGCTATCGATGCGTTTACTTTAACTTGACTTAAAATTATAGAAATAATTGCCACATTTGAATCAATGTAATAAACTAGGTAAATAGCTATCATACTACGTGATGTTAGTTTATGATTGTCCTGTGATAAATAGGAGCCAGTTCAGGCATTGGCGCAACCACATGCAGGTTTTTTGCTCGTGAAGGTTACAAACTAGTTCTAGCTGGCCGAAATTTGGATAGTTTGCAGTCTGTAGCTCAATGTTGTGGTAAAGTAGAGGTAATATCTAATATAGCCACTTAACTAATTTTATTGAGGACTAACTACCTTAGATCATGGTCAATATTAAAATAGTTGTGCAGACAATGCCGAAACCGAATAATGCAGCTGCACTTTGCATTTATTTTATATCGTGCATTTGTATTTTATAAGGATAGATTGTTTAAGATTATCAGTTGTAATTATTGTTGTAGTGGTAATAATGCAGATGCTAAATTGTAATGATAGCAATTTCGCTATCAATAATAAATTAATATAATCAATTGAATAGAAATACAGTTTATGAAAGTAGTTACGATAAATAACGATCTTAACGGAGAGGACTGTACATTTTCGCTTCGTAGCGACATTTAATATCAGTATGAGTTCATAAATACTAAGGTTTATAAATTTATAGAGTAAAGTAATTAAATAATCGACTACTGCCATTTAAATTTCCATCTTTACAATCGTACGTATTGAAAGATTCCTTATACGTAGCAGTGGTTATAGAATCAGAGCTATAATCATGAATTTTATGCCAAAATTTGAAGCCGGCGTGTATAGCAAATTAATCTTTAACGACTATCTATGAGACATACGATAGTTATTCATTTAAAAGGATAATTTAATTTTCAGAAATTAATTATATCAAGCGATTTAACGGACGTAAATGAACCTAGCAAGATTATTGAAAAATCTGTTAGCCATTTTGGTCGTTTGGATGTATTAGTAAGTACAGTATCATCAATTTATCATGTTAGTTTACAGTATTAAAAATGTAGTGTGACATGCCATACATCGTTGCCAACTACTGCTACAAATTAGTTTTATGTTATTTTTGGAAATTTTATTTGGTTATTCTATGTATTTGATGTAATATATGATTATGTCCATGCGTTTTTTATTAATAGGTGAATAATGCTGCCATTTTGGCATTAGGTAGCATTGAGGAATCTGATCTGGAACAATACGATAACATCATGGATACGAATATCAGGTATGAACATCTAGCATTATATTAAAGATAATTGCAGATTCTTAAAGTATATTTATTTATGCATTGTTAAATACAGATCTATGTACCAACTGACGCAAAAGGCAGTACCGCATTTGATCAAAACTCAAGGTATTTATTGCGTTGCAACACTACTATAAACACTAATTTGTAAAGCTAATGTAATGTTCACACCTTCATTGTCATATAATTATATAAAATTAATCCTTGAATTATTTTACTGTCTAAATCATCCCGAATTATCTTTGTGGCTTTAGGATCCGTTGTTAACGTTTCCAGTATCAATGGTCTGAGATCTGTAAGCAATAATTTTACATAAGATATAATCCCTTTTCGCTTACTTAGATATTATCCATTCACTTATGGCTTTTCTATCACCAGTTCCCTGGAGCTTTGACCTATTCCATATCTAAAAGTGCTGTAGATCAATTTACAAGATGTATCGCTTTAGGTACTAGTTGGATTAATGACTGAAAAAAATACCGTACTGTACTTGCTTCCTTACAATTTAAAACAATCACGATTATAACTTAGTGACTCAATTAATATTTTGATACAGAACTGGCCAGTAAGCAAGTTCGCGTAAACTGTGTTAAGTACGACTGATAGCTTACTCTTATCATGATATAGTTAAACAAACATTTGTCAGCCAACTTTTTGTTGTTCTTACATATACAATTCCTTTTTTATTTTCATAGCCCTGGCATTGTTGATACGAACATTCGCAAGCGAGGAAATGTTAGTGAAGTGGTTGCAGAGGTCTGAATTTAAAATGAATTCTTCTTGAAATTGATTAAATTTAGAGTGTTGCTTTAGTTTATTACCCTTAAAGACCAATTGTTATGATTCTGATACAGTTCTTAGAAAGAAGTAAGACAACACATGCATTAGGCCGTATAGGAACAACTGAAGAAATCGCTGATGCCATCTTATTCCTTGCATCAGATAGAGCTTCCTTTATCACTGGTGTAACATTACCTGTTGATGGCGGAAAACATGCAATGTGTCCTTATTGATTGGTTGTTTAACTATTAATGATTTCGATTTCTTACCAAGAATAAGCCATGATAAAATAGACTGGTGCTGCAATTTTATATTGGTAGAATAGTATAATGTCGGCTATTATCGCAATCTAATAACGATTTCTTGACGTTGCATTGAACACCTAAATAGAGTTTCGTTTTTACGGTTTGTCTCGACATAAGTTTAACGCGAAATTTGAATTATCAGTACTAATCGAAAGAGATTAATCTGACATAAAAGTATTCATATCGATGAAATGGAGAATTTAGTTTCGACTGTGGCATTAGAATTTATTTTCCACTAGAGATCCATCCCAATTAACTTTCTTATAACGTAGACAATTTTCTGTATCCTTCAGTTCAACGATCACTTTTTATATCATATATTTTATAATATAGTGCTATTACGACATAGTCTCTTATTCTATTAAATAATATAACAAATCACAGTATTCCTTGATTCTGATAGTATCGTTTCCAGTTAATTAGTGTAATAAAAGCTATTTAATAAATGTCCTTTGAGATCAATTGATGATAGTTGTATTGATACTTGGTGGTAGCATCTTTGTATGATAGCCACTATTGATATTGGTTGATTAGACAATTATTAAAATAATAAATGTAGCGGTAAAAGTATAATTTGCAAGTATGGAAGCACATTATTAACGAAACTTATGATAAGCTGAGTCATAGACGACAACTGGTCTCAAACTTCTATGTAGTAATTTTTATTTTACTGCTACGAATTTTATTCTAATTACCCATCAGCATGGCACATTTTGTGCTTTGTATCGCAATTCGTGTTTTTACTGCTTGATCAATCGGACTGATCCTGACCGCTCCTCCGCATGCAAGTATGGCCACTTTACTTTTACTCTTATAACAAATCTCGTACACTACTGTACTATGATAAGGGTGGTTTGCATGGGATAAAATCAACGAAAGCTTCTCTAAGTGCCTACATATACATGAAGATGATACTCGATATGACAATTTAACTCAATTCTACAGTAAACGATGAGACTTTACCGAAGCGATCACCATTTCTATCGTTATTATGGTGAGTTACTCCAGTATGGACTATGTACTAGATACCTCAAGAAGATCCGAATCATGAGAAGCTTCCATTTACCTTGAAGATGAATTTATCGTAACTATACAAGTCTCTTAATTATCAATTACAGTATAACTACAGGCATAATGGTTAATTAGCAAGTCATTAAAAAATCAAATTGGTCCAAAATGATACAAAAGCACTATCCTCCACAAATATAGCATACAGTAGCGCAATGGAGATTTTGGGTAGAGGTATTGTACTCCATTGGAGGCAATGCATTGAACGTACACCTAACAATATGGATATTTCATACATAACAGTATAATATGCAAATATCTATCATCCACTTCTAGAAAAGAAGCAACCATCAAAGTTGCTGTGTTGCTACCACTAATCGATTTGTAATCAAGAAGCTGTTGACAATCTTTGGAAAGCAATCAACCATACAAGTACTGCTCGAAAAAAAAGCGATGGCGTCCACAGATTCGAAATCGGAAAGTGTTGCTCACAAGGTGGCTTTAATCACAGGTAAAAGAGTCACGGAGATATTTGTTCATGGATTGGAACAGTTCGAGCTGGGTTAAATAATTATAATGAATCCAAATAGACTTACTCATTAATTATTAGACGATCGACAAGTTTATACAGCAATAAATTCTATACGTAAACCGCCTTTATATTGAAAGAATGTAAAATGTGAACAGTCAGTGATCGCAGAGTCTGGAGAAAGTTGTGATTTCACAGGATACTTGTTGAATCAAGAAAAGGCTAACGTACTGTTATAAAGTAATTCACCAATTGTTATCTATTTAGTGTATAATTGCGGAGGGAATAATTCCTAAATTGAATCAGTGCTTGTAAAGCGCTGACTGAATATTGGAGATGACCAATTTCACCGATTGTTATCCATTTAGTGTATCATTGAGGAGGGAATAATTCCTAAATTGAATCAGTGCTTGCAAATCGCTGACTGAGTATTGGAGATGACCAATTGGACCATCATAACACATGAATGTCTAATTTTAAAATGACTTTTTGCGATTGATTTCATTTATAAATTGGCAGGATAGTAAACCTGAACTCTTTTATTATATCTTATTATTGCTATATTCTCTGTATTCTTCATGATATATTATGTTATCTCATGATAAATAGGTGCCAGCTCAGGCATTGGTGCGGCAACCTGCAGACTCTTTGCTAGTCAAGGGTACAAATTAGCTCTAACTGGTCGAAATTTGGACAATTTACAGTCTGTCGCTCAAAGTTGTGCTGATGTAGAGGTAATGTCAAATGTAATCATTGCACTGCAGCATTTTAAGTCATGACTAGGATGTTATTTATCGACAAGTCAATAATACTGACTTCGGTATACTGTACAACATAGCTGTATTGCGAATTGGTTTGTGACTGTAACGGTCAATTCAAGAGCTCAAAATCTAATTTAAATAACACATCTTAGCTATAAAATTAAGTGTAGTAATCTTCAGTAATCAACTTTGAAACATAGCTATTCCTTCATAAAAATATTTTCGTTTTCAGAAATTAGTTCTCCCAGCCGATTTGACGAATGAAAGTCTAACTGACGAAATTGTTGAAAAAACAATTAAGCATTTTGGACGTCTAGATGTATTGGTTAGTATTTACTGTAGCACGTTTATTGATTGTACAGTAATAGCTGTAAATAACTTTTCTCACATAACGTATGTAGCTGTCTACTACTACAAACTATAGGACTTCTTCTTCTGCATTTGATTCGGTATACTGTCCTCGTTCGCATACATATAAACGCATTATTTTCATGTTTAACAGGTCAATAATGCTGGCATTGTAGCACTAGGTTCTATTGAAAATACTAATTTGGAACAATACGATCGTATCATGGACATTAATGTCAGGTATGATGATACATATATCGTACTATTAAAAAATAATTTCAGATTCTAATCGCAGAATTTACTTAATATCGCAATTAAAGATCTATCTATCAGCTGACACATAAAGCAGTGCCACATTTAATCAAAACTCAAGGTATGGACATACACTGCTGCTCTATCATCAACATTCATTAGTAAAGATACTGCAATATTCGTACTATCTCTATCATATATTTAGATAAAATAAATTTATAAAATTTTGGTAATTTATCCTTACAACCTTAGGATCTATCGTTAACGTTTCAAGTGTTAATGGCTTGAGATCTGTAAGCAAAATATTTCTATAAGATTTATTTTTCTCATTGCTTATCTGAAGTTTACGCATTATGATTTTCTGTCACTAGTTTCCTGGAGTTCTGGCTTACTGCATGTCCAAGAGTGCTGTAGATCAATTTACACGATGTACTGCTCTAGGTACTAGTTGGTTTAACAACAGAAAATGACGCATTGCTTTATTATTTTTTAACACGCCTGCCACTAACTTAGTCACGTCATTAATACTTCAATTTTACTGTAGAACTGGCCAGTAAGCAAGTTCGCGTAAATTGTGTAAAGTAAGTCACATAAATTAATTATCAAAGACTTCTTGATTCAATTTTGTACAATTTTAATAGAATGTATTACACCTTATTTTCATAGCCCTGGTGTTATTGTGACTAATATCCACCAGCGTGGAGGCCTCAATGATGAACAATACGAAAAGGTTCGAATTTGTATGAGTTCTTGTTGAAATTGATCAAATTCATGACATTACTTTATACTTTTGCCTTTAACCCCATTCGTTACAAATTTTGATACAGTTCTTAGAAAGAAGCAAGACAACCCATGCATTAGGCCGCGTAGGGCAGCCCGAAGAAGTTGCTAATGCAATTTTATTCCTTGCTTCGGATAAAGCTTCCTTTATTACTGGTGCAGCTCTACCAGTCGATGGCGGAAGGCATGCAATGTGTCCTCGTTGATTTAATTCTTAGATATTCATGATATGTGTTTCATCTTCCAAAAAGATTTTAGCCGTAAAATCAACTGATATGGATTGATTACTTTTGCGTTGGTAGAAATCTTGCGTAGTTGAATAAGTTTAGTAGTACTACTATTTTGATTTCAAACTAGTTGATGATGAAATTTTTATTTCGAATATATTTGGATTAGATTAATCCAAAGTCAAATATTAAACTATAGAAATGAATCAATTTGTCTCTGCTGTATCATTCAAGTACTCTGACCTTCGATGTATCTGTCCTATTGCAATTTTGCGTATACGCGTGCAATTTCTTTAAACCTGACTGATTTTTCTGCGCCCTTCAGCTCAATCTACGATTTTAATTAGGTTAAGAGGAATACGTGTTCGATCTCGGCATCTAATAGTCTACTACTAGTGCATGCCGCTTAAATTGTTACAATTTAATAGTGCGTTATTACTCAATGCTGAGAGCTAATGCCCATTCTCTTAGAAGAATTAGCCTTCATCGGGGCAAGGCAATAAAAATCATGATAATCACGCTATTTACTACCTAATTAAGCAAATACGAGTTGTATATGCTGCTTGCAGCTATGAAAAATCTTATGGGGATTCGGTATCTTAACGTCTATGTAAATTTATTTAATATTTTTTGGGTTTACTAACCACAATAACAAATCAAGTTTATGCCATTGGAATCGTACTTTAACGCTATTTTGCCTAAATTTTATCAAATTAGCTAGCCAAACTGTTGATTTTATATTGCCATGGGCTTCTAGACATCTCGATGTCCAAGACATTGCAGCACCTGCAAATTCAGGTGGATAGTTCAATTTTTAAATACTGTGCTGTACGCAAAGGAAATTGGCCAGCAACCTGACTACAGATTGCAGTTTCAGTCCATTTTCAGTGTTACTCTAGACTCTAGTACAGCCATCAATAGGACAGATACATCATTGCAATTAGTGGCAAAAGAAAAGCTTTATTTTCATAACCACGAATCAGAACCCTATACAGTATAATCAAGATAGACATCTATCGTACAACAGACGACAAAAGTACTACTGGATATAGACAGTTAATTTATAATCGAGAAACAGTCACTATTGGCTAGCTTCCAAAAGTCTACAATCCTTGCTGTCAACGAAATAGATGATCGGAAATAGAGCTAAGCTATCCAATTCATGCCATTGCTGCACCAGCAAATTCTCCCGTCCAGTTAGTACTGCAATCTTTAATACAGTACCTTACGGTATTGTACACCAAGGCCACCCAGCTACCGATTGGTGCCAACTACAGTAGCTGGTTACAGTCCATTTTCAGTACTATTCTACTACAGATGTCGATAGAACAGCATCGAAATTAGCGACAACAGAAAAGCTTTAGTACCATAATCCTGAATCCAAATCCTATCCAATCGATACAGACATCTACAGTATAAAAAGCAATAAAGCAATACTGGATACAGGCAGTCTATTTGTAATCGAGAAGCAGTTACTATTGGCTAAAGTCGAAAAGTCTACACTCATTACTGTCAACGAAATAGCTGATTCCATCAACAGAGGCAATCCACTATGGCAAGTGTTGCTCATAAAGTTGCTTTAATCACAGGTAAGACAAGAATCATGGCTGTCGACTGATCGATAGTATTAGATTGTAAGGATAGACGATTTACCTTGGTGATTGCCCATTGCCCAGTCTATAAAAAGTGAATGATGGATGCAGATCGATGAAATGATTACGAGTGGAAAGAAGAGATGAAGTGTTATTGTTTGCAGATGTAGAAAATAGGAAATTGACAAATACATTTAAATAATTTAGGACTACTTAATCAGTACATGATAAAACCTCTCTATTTGCCAAAAATATCGAGAAAATAGCGACTTACTACTGTACACTACCACAGGAGACAACAGATTAGATAAACGAGAATAACTGTAGCCAACAATTTTCATTTGTAAATTAACAAGGCCGAGGTAGCGAATGATCCACATTGAAGCGCTATGAAGGCCAAGTCGTTGCTAAATGATACTGCCTAAGATACTGGATAGTTTACCGTGCTATGTCATGATGTTGGCTCATCTTACCTTATCATCATTAGGTGCTAGTTCTGGCATTGGCGCAGCAACCTGCAGACTCTTTGCTCGTGAAGGTTATAAAATAGCTCTAACTGGTCGAAAATTGGACAATTTACAGTCTGTGGCTCAAAATTGTGCTGATGTAGAGGTAATATCAAATGCTGCTATTTTATGATGCTTGTGTTCATAGATGAGTGTTGGCTGTGATATCGGTTGCTTGATAATCATCAAACCGAGTCCTCTACTTCCAATTTCAATGACAATCTCACCTAAAATGACAGTGAAGGACTGTCAACTCCGATAAACTATTAATTATCACACGTAAATATTCATTTACAAATTTTTCAGAAATTAGTTGTCCAAGCCGATTTGACTAAGGAAAATGAAACTGAAGATGTCGTTACAAAAATTATTAATCATTTTGGACGACTAGATGTATTGGTTAGTACAGTATTATATCACGTTTATTAAATCGTATAAGGTAGAAACTGTTCCGGCTTGACATACGTAGTGTTCTACAGTACTACAGCAAACTTGTATGACTTCATTATACCAACATTTGATTAAGGATACTTTACGAGTATACCCATAAACACGTACTGTCATTTTTTGCTATCAATAGGTAAATAATGCTGGCATTTTAGAATCAGGTAACATTGAAACAACTAATCTGGAGCAGTATGATCATCTCATGAACACCAATGTCCGGTATAATGATACATCATACGGTTTAAAGCAATTTCAGATTCTTACGGTAGAAAATAATTAATATCATATCTACAGATCCGTCTATCACCTAACGCAAAAGGCAGTACCGCATTTGATCGAAACTCAAGGCAATTATCTGCGCTATGACGTATAAATTATCAACTTATAAAACACCACAACATTCATGCTTTCATTATCATTTATTACAAAAAGTTGCAATGTAAACGTACAATTTTAATATTATCTGTCTTCGCAACCTTAGGATCTATCGTGAACGTTTCTAGTGTCAATGGTCTGAGAGCGGTAAGCAAAAATCTCCTTAATAAGATGGATTGCCTTCGTGCTTATCACCATATTTTGTATTCAATTATCTTTTTCTGCTTCTAGTTTGCTGGAGTTTTGGCTTATTGCATGTCTAAGAGTGCTGTAGATCAATTTACGAGATGTACCGCTCTAGGTACTAGTTGAGTTTACAACTAAAAGTTGCGTAATTACCTACATATCTTAAAATAATTGCAATGAAACCCTATTAATTTTATTAATATTGCAATATAGAACTAGCCAGTAAGCAAGTTCGTGTAAACTGTGTAAAGTAAGTCTAATAACGTGATAGTAAAAAATTATAATCAAGACTTATCGGTCAAATTGATACAATTCTAATAGAAAGTATTATACTTTATTTTCATAGCCCTGGTGTTATTGTGACTAACTTGCAGAAGCGGGGAGGGCTCAATGATGAAGCTTACGCACAGGTGCGAATTAAAGATTTATCCTTTGTTGAAATTGATTAAATTTATGGCATTACTTTAATCCACTATTCACCACAATATATTGTTGCAGTTCTTAGAAAGAAGTAAGACAACACATGCATTAGGCCGCGTGGGACAACCCGAAGAAGTTGCTAATGCAATTTTATTCCTTGCATCAGATAAAGCTTCCTTTATTACTGGTGCAACTTTACCAGTCGATGGTGGGAGACATGCAATGTGTCCTCGTTGATTTAACTCTTTTAGATTTTAATAGCGTCCATTTCTTATAGCAAGAATTTATAGCAAAGTCGACTAACATCGGTTATTTTGCATTGGCAGAATAATTTTGAAAAACTAATATAGTAATCGAATCGGCAAGCTCCTGGTGCCGTATTGAATTGCTTAAATTGTGCTTCCTCATTACTATTGCCTTTACTTCATGTTAGCTTAAATAAAATCCGTTTTTTTATTTTCAAGTTGTAATCCTAATTTCCATTGATATAACAAAACGACTTTCTACATCATCAAACTAAACGTCCGCTATTTACATTGGTAGTGCTTTTATTATTAATTATTAAACTTAAGCAATAAAAATATTCCTTCAATGTAATATTTTTACACATCGTTTATACGTGTATATCATTTCGTAGTAATCAGGATTCACTACTTATTAGTGCTCCATGAATCCAGTAATAGTAATTGCACTATTAGATGAATATTTTATAGGTATGTAGCCATCAGGCGTAGGTGAAACAATGCACCATTTATTGCCAATTAAGATCTCCATGTTAGTGATACCAAAAGCTTTCTCTACAACTGCCACATTCAACATGCCATCATTGAGTAAAAAATTCTTGCTCACGTCATTCCCATTCGTCTGGAGTGTTACTTGTATCACTAGCAAACACATGCATAATCAAGTATTAAAATCAAAAGGATAACAAGTCCATCTGTTGAAGAGTAAATAAATGTTAGTTACCTGACGCATTCAATTCTACTTTGTTAGGCTTTTCTGTTATAAACTTACTAGCAAATTAAATATTTTAAACAGGTCTTTAGAGGATATTAATTACGATATAAAGAACCAGTTGCAGATGTATGACTGCATGCAAATACTATTTACCTCAGATGAATAACTTCTTCGGCTATACGAGAAACTTCGCCAGCCTATTTTAAATATATCAATAACCTTACTGTGTACCACAAAATGTTAACAAATATATTTATTCATATACGTAAACATTAATTTAATTAATTGTACAGCAAGGATAACAACTATATATGGTGTGCTCATAGTAATATGTACAGATCAACATTGTCATACCTGAGTCTGAATCAAGCATTCTAGTTTATTCATACATTCAAACAGTTTATCTGAAGACAGCGGAACGATTACATTGAGAAGAGTACTAAATATATTTGCAATATGGTAAATGCTAGTTAGGATTTCATATTTACCAATATTGGCTGGTATTTCGCTTGGATTGTTATAGTCTAATTCCGTGTTGGAGGGTTTGGAGACGAAATTCATAAGATTGGCGTTTTGCAAATTGTCTGTTATCAACGTATCTATGGCTGGATTTCTAATAACGGGAAAAATACTGTCTTCGAAGCTATTACCACTATCGACGATCAACCTCCTCAGCAAATCTTCCTTCATACTGCGCCTCACTTCCACGTCTACCTCATTAATGAATACAAATAATTTGCTATCAGCACAGTGCAATTTAAAGAACAGAATGTATACCCATAGGGAGGCTATACTATAGCTATACCAAGCAGTCAATATGATGACTTACCATTATTTAACTGTACAGTCTTTAACTTGAGATCATACTTTACAATCGTTTTCAACGACATAAAATCGGTTAGGAAATCCTTTTCTAATTGTCCAATTAATAATAAACCGATATTCTCCCTTATAAAACAAATTCCTTTCGCTCTTGAATCACTTAGAAGTTCCTTAGATCAAACCAAATGCCGTATTTATAAAATATTGCAAACTTCAAATAAATTTCACCTTAGCTAGTACAGTACTGTATACACAAACGAAACTATGAACATTACCATAGTGCTACGCTTAGCAATGGCATAGGAATTGTTTTCTTTTACTATGGCAAAAATGTGCAGCAAGTTGGTGGAATTACTGGACAGAATGATCGATTTAGAAGTGTCCTATAAATAAGAAATTTGTCGAAATTACGTGTTTTTAATTCCATATATTGACTACACATTTTGTTGTGTAACTGAATATAAGTTGATATACCTACATTATAATCGAGTATATCAGGGGTAATAAATCCCAAAACATCGATACTGCTAATTTGATCGCATGAATCGCCATGAATTGATAATAGCGATATCTGAGCACACGCTTTCTTAGGAAGGCCATCCTAATATTTCAATAGAATCATACTGTTTACACTAGAATTAACTTTTACCAACTGTAAGGTGAACAGGTAACAAAACGAATGCAAGTGATGTCTAGCATCAAGTACTAGCCTGTTGTTTTCGTTTCAAGAATAATAATGGATTAGCTTGACTATTGTTACCAACAGAACGCAAATGGGTTAAGTCGATCATGTCAGATTGCGAATTATTTTCTTCCCGTAAAGTAGAAGAACTTGAACATGCCATCTCTTCATCGAAATAATCCGATTGGGACAACATGCATAATTTCTCCAATGGTAATTCAGCAGATACAATGAAATGATGATCATCAATTACAGGTAAGATACATCGAATATTGCCACTGAGACTGAAAAATGCAACATAAACAATTGATAGTCAATAAAGGCAAAGTCATAAAAGGTCCAAAAATTACTAATATTTGTATTAAAGTATCATAAAGCCTGCAAGTTTCATCTTACTTTTCGAGTTTTCTTGTTTCTTTTATATATTCTTTCATAGCATGATTGGGTGAATTAGACCAACGGAATAATACTAGCGTATCGCCGATTGCACAAATTAAAGCCAGTCCACTAGCCAGCCATGTAATTTTAGAAAGCGAGCTGTTGTGGAAGGAATTTAAAGCAGTTGATTTACAATTCGCAATAACGTAACTTTTCCTTGATTATTATTGTTAATATTTTTCTGAGTTCCATTTAATTTAATATAGTGACCTTACTTGATTTTATTTGGTAGATTAATATGGCACTCTAATTTACAAGAATGATCGGCAAGCGAATAGTTATATAAGTCAACCATCTTAGATGAAACAAACGTAATAATAGGCAAGCTAGGATGCCAAAAGCAACCTTGAACAACGACAGAAACTAAATTAGTAACCATCTTAAGCTAAACGGTTTGTAATACTGATTTAGCTGCAACATTGTAATACAAGAAATACCTTTGATACTGACAGAGGTACCATTACAGATATCAGTGGTTAAAACGTGTATTAATTTTTCCACTCTTGCGTTGTCACTAATACAAGGTAAAAAATATGACAATAAAAAAATAGCTTGGTGTAACATAGATAGATACCTTGAGATCAAAGTGTCCCAATAATAATTTATTCATCGATTAAGCGTATAAAAATAAGTCTAACCTTTCACTGAATTGGAAGATGGATATTTTACTTTCGTGAGTCACGGCTAATATACCATCCGGATGTCTACTCCACGCTATACTTGAGACATCTCTTAATAAAATATGATTCGATATTTTTAGATACGAGTATACTTAATAACATGACGCCTATTGACCATTATAATAGCTAAGTGGGGCATTCATGGCGCGAGTTGTGATTACAAGATTCTACGGTAGATGATGAGACTACGAACTGATCGGTATTTTTAATAAAGCGCAGAAGTTATGCATGCATGCATACCTGAAGTGTCCCAGATTAACAGCAGCAGTACGATCACCTTGTAGCTGATGATTCTGAAGACGAATTTGCATATGCCAAAGGCATTCACCATCAAACCAGACTATGCCGCATCGATTGCTATAAGCTATCATGGTAATTATAATTGGTAAAATATACATTTGCATGCTAAGTTAATCTTTGTAAATGAGTGAAATACTGTATTTCATAGGCACAATAATCTTAACACACATTATATCAAATAATAAAACACATCCAATATTCTATCCTTGTACAATCATTTCTATACGCCATGATAGTTTAAGATCAATTCTCAGTCATTTGATGTTTGTAAATATAAATTACTGTATTGTAAGGGCTGATTATATTAATGCTTACAGTGCATTTGCAATTTTGATTACCGTTTGAATACGTTCTAAGTAGCAATTATAATTACATATATTGCAAAATCTCTGTACCAATATAGCAGCTTTATGCTAAACTAGATACCATAATATAGAAAGTTTGTCATGTCTTTACTCAATACGCAGGTAGCTACTGTCTATAACAGCGTTAAGAAGCTGTGTTACAAGCAATATTACTTTGATTTCAATGACTACAAGCAGTCCTTTCACCAAACCAATTTCTTACTATAGCTACTGTTACGATTCTACTAGTAGGTAAACCTGCACAGTGCACAATCATCATCATTTGCAGAACCGTACAGAATTTGCAGAATATGTGAGATTCGTGTATTGGAAACATTTGGATCTCACCTTGTCTTAGGTAATTGACATTGACACGACGGAGCTGAGCTTGGCCTAAATCGATGCAATTGTCCATTGAATCCATGGTAATCATGGAAGTTTATTGATAGGGTAGATTTCCAGCTAGTTTTACAATCTGTTACGCGAGCAATTTACAGATAGAGAGTCAAGTTGATGGCATTAATTTTCAACGCGGCCCTTGGGCACTCTTGATATTAATCTAGTTGACAGTGTAGAATCACCTTTGATAGGTAGTACTGTAGCTCTTGAAACGATAGAAGGCATTAGTCTATTCTCCTCTATCTACTGCACAACCTTCAAGTTGTCCATAGCAGCTGTGCAGATATGTTGATGGACGAGCTGATTCCTCTCCAGGTCAACAAAGATTGAGTTGATTGCAATGGCCTTATCCTGCTGCAGCAGTCTATAGCGCTGTTATGAAGTAGCAGTTGGTAGGCGAATAGGATTGTATAAACTATCAAGCCAACAAGACAACTTACTATGGCAATTAGTCCTATTTCAGTAGTTGTACAGTGTCCACTATCGATGAACTCCTTGTCAGAAATGCAGCCTGGTGACTAGGCCTATGGAAACTTTTTCCAGCCTTTTCACAAACTAAATTCTTGGATGGATATCGTATCGTAAAGAAACTACAGCTAATTCTATCCTGATGTAATAGTAACTATATTAAAGAAGCAGTGACTTTATATTTTGGGGCCATATGCAAAACTTGACGCCCTTAAGAAATGCAGCCTGGTGAGTGAGTGGTGACTAGGCTATGCAAACTTTTTCCAGCCGATTTACAAACTAAATTCTTGGATAGATATCGTATCGTAAAGGAATTGCAGCTAATTCTATCCTGATGTAATAGTAACTATATTGAAGAAGCAGTAACTTTATATTTGACCCCCTTAAGAAATGCAGCCTGGTGAGTGAGTGATGACTAGGCTATGCAAACTTTTTCCAGCCTATTTACAAACTAAATTCTTGGATAGATATCGTATCGTAAAGGAATTGCAGCTAATTCTATCCTGTTGTACTGGTAACTATATTGAAGAAGCAGTAACTTCATATTTTGGGGCCATATGCAAAACTGGATCCATTAGCTGCATACTAATAGTATACCTACTCAAACATGACTAATTTGATATACCATCGGTAGGCAAAACATGATGTTGTCAATCCTTGCAGCATTAGACTTGTGATGATGCAATTGCTTGGCTGGTGCACGACGGCTTCCATCCGTAACGTAAACAGCAGCTGCAGACTGTAGCCAGACGACTGATTGCAGTCAGACATAGAGTACAAGTAGGCGCAGAGGCCTTGTTGAACAGCTTGAAACTAGATTGGAAAGAATTTCTTGAAAACAACTCCATCATTAAAGCTTTATTTGGCCCTATTTGAACTCGATTATTCTATCATTAGGTATCTGATTAGAATTCTATCGTCAGTGCCGATGTTGAAGAGTTATTATCATGTATTGCTGTGCTTGTGAAAGGACTAAAAATGCCAATTTCTAATTACGTCTTGTTGAAATTTGGGGAGTAGGATTGCCTTGAAGAAAAATGATGAGAATCCGTTGCGGTCCATCTGGTCAAAGATTGAATTTGGCCAGATTATGCTTTCGAATGTATTGCCAAGGAAAACCAGCTATTGATACTAGTCAAGTCACACAATCGGCTGCCAGTGTTGCAGGTAAGTTTAGCATTCGATGATTATTTTGGGGGCGAAATATCAATAACAAATACCGTCATCACACGGAAAACACCGTATAACAGAGTGCTGCATAACAACAAAATGGACGAGTGTTAATCCGCCTGATTCACTACCATAGAATAAGGACTAAGAAGAAAAATTAAAAGAATTTTCGATAGTCCCTGCATAGAAAAAGCCATTCTGCAAGACATAATCAGTTTAGAAAATGGATAAAAAGGCCATTCGGACTCAATACTGTACAGTACAGTACAGCCATGACGATAGTCTACTATGGCACTGAAAATGAGCACTTAGGATAAACATATGATTAGTTTACCAGCACGCATACGCGTAGGCTAGCTCCTAAGCGTCTATATCATAACGTAGGCGCGATTAAGATTCCGTTAGCTTACCAGCAAATATCTGTTACTGTATATTCGTCTATATAAGTTCACGTCGATGCTGAACTTGCAAAATGTTATACTTGTACTGTAATACGAAGAAAGGAGGATTTTACGCTGAAGTCTACTTTGTCGTGGCTAACCTTATTCAGATAGAAATCTTGCTTAATCGAGATATTGAAACAGTTCTGCAGGCAAAATACAACCGATAGAAGTTGTTACCAATTTCTTATGTTTTATCCACCTTCAAATAGATTACATCTACGAATCAAATTATTTTATCCCATACAGGATGTACAGATAAATGAATCATTCATTCCAAGTTGAATTAACATTAATGACATCAATCATGATTTATATAGCCTACGAAACTTTTAATGATCGATGTATTCAACCGATTTGATACAAATTATTAGCCGGTGTCAAGTACTCTTGATACCTCTAACATGCTCCGGTATTGGAACAAATTAATCCTTGAAATGTTCTATGACTGACAGACGTATTTTCAACTTCATTCGGCCTGCTATGAACAGTTTATACTATCTAAAATCACTCACTACGTTATTTGCCCAGACCCAATAAAATGTGCAATACTTGATCAGCGTTTCCAACACGAATACATGATACAGAGTAATAACGGCTCAATTTTATAGTATGCTATCACCTTAAAAAATAGAGCACTCTAAATTTAGAATCCAACGTTCCTTATTGCACAATTTTTGAATACAGTGTCTTAAAACGTAACAGTTGGGAAAGTCTTGCAGTTACCTTACCCCCAAGAATTACATGCTAACCAAATGCTAACATTGACATACAGTATTGTTGTCATCTTCCTAGGCAATGTTGAATCTGTCAAGATACCTTTAAGAACCCTAACTAAAATGGATCGTTTTGCATTGATTGTTACAAGAACAATGAAGGCGCATGAAATACCCCTTGAAGCTAGGTAAGTTGCAAGTTATATAATATTGTGTTATACGGTAAGACGTTTTTAGTTTACCGTGTGCAAAAGCCCTATTGGATAGTTGTATATAGAGGAGGTAAAATATCTAATGTGGGTATGTTAACGTTTCTTGTTTAAAATAGCAAAGCTGTCGTAGAAAAAGCACAGGACAAAAGAAGAATCTTAATGAATGTTGGCTTGTTCGTATTTACTATCGTTGGTTCTATAATTGCTATCATTAGCGGTAAAAGATTGAGAAATTCTAAAAGTGGTGGCTATACGTTACAAGACCGAAATAAAGAAAGATACGAGAGAGTGAGACAAAGGGAGGCCAAAGCTAAAGAGCAATAAACTTTAACCACTTTTCTTTACATTGCGGAGTTGCTCATTAGATTGTCGAGTTTCACTGCATGTAGACATTTTCGACAAAGTCGATAAAGCATAGTAAGAAGCCCGAGTAACAGCTATGTGCTTCTGTATTACAAGTCTTCTCTATTATTTTATTTGTATCTTAAAAGATCGCAGCTTTTAAGTATACCTTAGATTTCTATTGTCCGGAAAAAAGTCTGATACGTCGTAATATCTTCTATATAATGAATTTGTATCTTAAAAAATCATAGTTTTTAAATATCCTTATATTTCTATGGTCCGGAAATAAATAATGTTATACGCAGTAATATCTTCTACAGAATGGTATATGTTGCCTAGTATCATCTCAAACATATTACGAAAAGACAGTAGAGCCCTATCGATAATCCAATATAAATATTACTCGCCCCGAAATCTCATGCCTGAAAGAATTTGATAGCAATACTTATATCCCAATTTATTTTATTATAACGAGTAGTCGATCACCAGGTCAAGAATTAAACACTACTCGTAATGTTAGATAAGATAACTGACTGATATAATGTGTATAAGCAGCTATAACTTAGTTTGATACATTTTTAGCAATTTTTTAAACAATTACGTACTTGCTAAAATCAAGTACTGTGGGCAATAGTTCAAATTGTAGATTCGATAGATCAGATTTCAACAGTATGTATAATATTTCATTTGAAAAGCACTTTTACTGCCGTTGCAGTAAAGCAATTATTTCAAGTAGAACATATAATTAATCAATTAAATCATTCAACTTTTAGACTTCTTAGGAATGACATCCGCCAACTTTTCGTCAATATTCTCCAATTGAGTAATACTATATTTACCGAAAAATTTTCGCACAATACCACGTAGGGCTTCATCAACTAAAATCGACGCACAAGCAATTTATTACTTAATATCTACGCAATGCCATCTGACACTCAATCGTGTTTAAATATAACATAGTAATGTATCATACTACGTAAAAGTGACCGAGATATGAACTTACAATTTGTATTTCTAGGAATAATGTCATTGATAAGTAAGGCATGTGTCATTTGTCGAGCAAATACTTTGAACAAGTCCTAAAAAAAATCATCCTCAAGTTACTTCAGTCATAGCAGCAATTTTTAAATGTCCAACAGTGCAACAATTTCGTACCTTACTAGATATTCTGCCACTTCTATAGTAGGGCGTTAATAACTTTACTACTGTTTTTGCAACTTGCTGTCGAGCAGCCTTGTCACATTCTTTTCGACATTCCATTTCACGTATTACTCGTACATTTTGCTGAGACTCATCAAGCAATGAAGTCTGGGCTATTAAATCTGACTTGATAGATGAGGCTTCGTCCGTTGCTATTCTTTCATTAACCTCTTTCTTATCTTCTGCCTCTTCGTCAGCACTCTCAGGTTCCTGTTTTATAACTGCTATAGATACTAATCGATCGTCAGTGACATTTTGGTTAAGAGAAGCTGTATATTGAAATTCAGTTGAGGTTTGCATAGTAGCGCTAGAAACTGAAGCTTGCCTAGAAAATTATATAAGATACAGTAATTATAGCAATGCCACACTTAAATATTTCGATAGACCAAAAAATTGGGGAATTGAAACCCATACACATCGATTTCTGGTTTAATCATCTTCATTTCGCTACTTTCCGCAACTATCTCATCATGCTGTGTCAAATTAGATAACAGCAACTTAATATCGTTTAATGATTTAAACTGTACATATTTATTATAGAACTTATAAATACTAAAATTTTAAACATTCGTACACTGCAATTGATATTAGGCTTAACTCCAATTGATAAATCGCTTCCTACGCTACCATTCACTGTTGTTAGTTCGTTTTTCGTACGGTTTGAATCCTGCAACAATAAATCTCCACTATTAATGGAATACAGTCTAATTACGAAGTTTAAACGACTATCATACTCCATATTCAATAAGTGAGACGTACAATTTCACTATAAGTATTCCCTGCCAAGGTGGCCGAACTAATATTTTGAACCTGAAACGATGACAGCATAAAGCTCTGAAATTACCATCTTTAGATTGACAGGTAATCAATGTCAACATGTTGTAAAGCCTGAGCTCTGTAGAATACTAGCGAATATTCCTTACCAATTTCCTAATCTTAACACGATATATGTTGCCCAACCGATTACTGCTGAAGATTTCATACTCTAACTTAATAGCCTCTTCACTATTAGAATCATAAATATAATACAATTTATTGCACGATCCGCACTGATAAAGTACTACCGGCTGCATATTATTAACTGTCAAGGCCACTTCTACACTCAAAAGTAATGCACCTTGCTTGTTTATTGCTTCCACATTTGGTAAAATTGGCTTTTAAGGTATCTTCAATTGATTTTAAACAGTGCTCCCTAACCTACGATCGCATTTACGTAAAGTTAAAGTAGTGATCATTCATAATGGATTGCATAATGTAAGCTTCTACAACAGAACTTGGGCTACCTTTACTGGAAGAGAACGAATTCTACTTGTGCCACTAGCATCTATCAATCTACAGTCTTAAGATGTCAGAATGTAATAAAAATTACGGTTGATTAGATTGCTGTACTGTATACATTATGTAATACACATTGCACCTAATATGGATTTGAAAATGCATATCATTATCGACGTACCGGGCTGAATGGTATCACAAAGAGGCTTATTTCGTTGTGTTCCCTTATAAGCCAAGAGAATAATTAATCAACAACATTAAAAATCACGAAAGTATCTAACGACTTTACTACAAAGTCTGTTTACCTTTCGCCTTTTATCAAATTCTGTCTTGATAAAGGATGCTATATTATCATCTTGAGTGGATTGCTTATAACCCTCACTATCAATTTCACCATAGCGAAATCTATTCGAATGTTATTCAAAACGGTCAATCAAATCGAATGAGTTATCTATGGTATTAACAAACAGCATTTGAAACCTTTTTTCTGAATATTCCTTATCTAAGTCCTCATCAAAAATTTCTCCATTGATTTGAAGAAGGCGTCGCAATCTTTTAGAATTCTTTCTCTTCGGTAGGCTAGATAAATCGAATAGACTGCAGTTCTCTTTTACCTCCTTAGGCTTTTTACAATAATCACACGAACTAACACACTTTAAAAAAGCAAGTTAGACAAGAATCGCATCATACAGTACATTGGCGGTCAAGTAACGGATTGAAGAAAATCTTAATCAAATTAGCAACCCAAAAAGGAAATTTTTTGTAACACTTACCGAAGGATCGGTCTCATTAAAATATCTTGCTATTACCGCATGTCTACATCTACAGATAACAACATAGCATCGCAAACCTGTTATTTCATGTATGGAGACGAGCATTTTAGGTTTTTTGCAGCCTTTCATAAGCATTTTACGAGCAATAAATTCTTACACAAAAATGAACATCTACCTTGCTTCTTGACAATAATTGACAAGGTAATCGAAGCTTTTTTGGCTAGATTGCTCACGATTCTTAATAAAACGATATTTCAATTATGTATATTAAACAGTTGTTGTACTTTTATTAGCCTGCAGCTAAATCTCCAAGTCGGAGATTACGTATGGCATGTAATTACCAAACTCTGACGTTTTACTTCTTTCTTCAGTAAATATTGAACAACATTTCTTTCTTCTCGGGAATAATATAAACGACAAAATGCTAACTTGCCATCACGTCCAGCACGTCCAGATTCTTGATAGTAAGACTCCATTGACTTCGGGAGGCACCAGTGGGCTACAAATCTAATACAATGCAGTAGATTATGCGGTAACAAGGGAAAATTTGGAATGATGTTGGAAATTTTAACTTTAAATTAAAATCATTAACCAGCTATACAAATTAAGAAACAGCTACGACTAGAGAAATGCATATGTAGATATGATACCTTACAGATGCCTTATCGACTCCCATTCCAAAGCTAATCGTAGCCACAATAACTTTAACAATACCATCCATCCATTCTCGTTGTATCTGCTCTCGAATCTTACCACTTAATCCTAAATGCCATGTTTGTCAATAATGCAAACAAAAGTTAATAACATTGAATTGTTGCTCCAAATAGCCAAAATGATTGGTTAATAAAGTATTAAAGGACATGCTTTAAAAGTTATTACAAAGACAAGCTACTTCAAGTTACCAGCATGATAAGACTTGCAAGAAATACCGTAACCAGCAAGTTTGTCAGAGATGTTATCGCAGTCATCCCTTGTACGACAATAGATAATTCCACAACCTTGAGATGATGTGGAGTTAAGTGCAATGGAGCCACTTATAGATGATAACACGAAATTTCTTAAATTGTCTAGAGCGTCGGTAAGTAGGTCCTTAAATCTAATAAAAGGCAAAGTGACTTAGAGTATGTATAAAGGGTCGTCAATAGTCACATGATAAACGAAATAACTATAATACTTACATCACGTCATAATACAAATTTGATCGAAAGCAACTGGACCTAAATGATTGAAAGGATGATCTAAAGTGCAAAGATTTTATAACATCTTCTTGCACAGTTTTGTTGGCAGTTGCAGTTAAGGCAATTATAGGAACTGAGGGAAAATATTCCCTCAGATTTCCCAACTTACGATAGTCAGGTCTAAAATGAAAATAAAAGGAAGTTAATTTGCGTGTTTACAAAATATCAAACATTCAACAATTACAGATATTCAGGATTAATTCATCATATCGTTAAGGCTTGTCTATGTGCTAGTGAAAAAGAGCAACCAGACCATAAGTAAATGATTGACATCCAAGCAAGTCTAGTATTAAAGTAGTTATTGCGCTGGTAATTTTTCAATGTTATCCAATTGATATTTTTGATAAAAGCATCAAAAATAGATTTATTAATTATAATAGAGGTTCAGTGATTCATGATAACTATAATTGCTACAGGCATCAGCAGGAGTTGACATTAGTAGAAATTCAAAGTGACTAAAAATCGTACCTAAAATCATGTCCCCAGTGAGAAACACAATGCGCTTCATCAATTGTAAAGTAGTTCAATCGTGATCTGTCGAATAAATGCTTCAACAGTCGTTTGAAATCGCTAGTAGCGGCCAATTCAGGGGTAACGTAGAGCAGTCTAATAGTAGGTTCAGGATCGTGGAGATCTTTGATGACCGCATTGCGATCAGTTTCAGCCATTTTGGAATTAATTGTCTTCGAGCAAATACCAACATTTTGTAAATGATCAATCTGATCATAAATTAAAGCTATTAACGGCGAAAATACAACAGTCACTCCTGGATGGAGTATCGCCGGTAACTGATAGCATAATGATTTGCCTCCACCAGTTGGCATGGACACAAATACATCGGTTTTTCCTAAGTAGCAACATGCAGTAAGATGAATTTAGCATCAGTAAAAGTGTCAAAGCAACCATTCTATCAAGGTCAACCATGCTACACTGAATGAAATTAACATTAAACTACTGTCTTTGCATATTACTCGTATGGTTACGATGTTCGGTTCCTTTGCATCGCCTTGTATTTACTATGCTCTCTGCTGCTATTTTATTTATCATTCCATTGATTCCGTTAGTCAAGTTGGATACATATAGTCTATCCATCTAGTCGTTAAGACATCGCAGAGCGCATTCATTCATTTAATGAATGAATGCTCTCGCATAATCAATCTTGCTCAATTGAAACATGTGCAATTTAGCTAGCAATCAAGTCAGAGCCATCCATTTATCCTATCCTCTGTCACTAATACGTACATAATTCAACAATTAGTTATAGTACAATGATTATTTCCCTTACTGGCTGCAATCTCTATGACAGCTTTTTCTTGCACTGGAGACTTGAAAGAATCATAACCAAAGACAGTCTTTAACTTGAATAAGATACGTTTTACACCTGTATCATGACAAGCCATTTACGATCTTTCGAGTTAATCTTAAATGGGAATTTTGCAAAGTAGAGATTGAATCGATTGAAGGTGATCGATGTGGTGTAGAATAATATTGAGTTATGGTTGATCGGTTTACTGTGCGTAGTTTCTTCTCGATGATTTGATCTCTTATTACGGCTCTTCTTGGATGGATATTACATTCATTGGCTTACTTTTACAGTCAATTTTAAAACTTGCAGCGAACCATTTAACTAGCATCTTCCGCTTGCCCCAACCAGTACTGCATTAGTGAACATTGCTGACTGACATCAGCATGTTCGACATTTCCACCAGGTAAAATGGTTCCCTTGCAATCGTTAACACTTCTAGAAGATTGACTGACTGCTCGGTTCTATTCTACATATTCTTGTGAAGGAAAGCCTATTCTAGGTTAATATTTAGGAGCTATTTTGCACTTTTTTGATCTAGTCCTAGCAACTTTGCTGCACCTCCGCCTGTCCACGATACGTTCTATACGAGTACGTATGTCAATCTACACACGTCAACATGCAGTCAGCAGCAGCTTGCGACGTCATTCATTGAAGTTCAAGTCTTGACAAGTCATCCATCATTCGACTCATCAACAAGTCTGCAATGTACTGTACACTGTACACTGTACACTGTGCAATACTGTACAGTACTGTCCACAGTGTACAGTAAACACACAGACTGTGCACTGTGCACTGTACTCTACAGTACAGTTTTCGAACTCTTCATGGTCTGGATGAGTCCGGATCAGATCCAGCCCGGACCAGACCTAGGTCTGAAGGATAGAAAGCAAAGTGTACAGTACTGTACAGTACAGGACAGTCAACATACAGTACTGTACAGTACAGTACAGTACAGTACAGTACAGTAGTACCGTGCAGTTCAGTACTGTACACTGTAAAAAAAGGACAAAAACATTGGAGGACTAGTAGAAGATGACCTTTTTTCTAAGTTCTAGCTGTACAGTACTTGGAGATCTTCCTTGGTCTGCAGACCTTGGACGGTTAGACCAGAACCAGACCATGAAGATCTTGAACCATACTAACTGTACAGTGTACAGTGTACAGTACAAGTACAGTACAGTACTGTACAGTACAGTAATTCAATCATTGCACCAATTTACTGTACTGTACTGTACTGTACTGTGTACACACAGTACACACACACTTCCACACTCTGGCACTCACAGTCAGGGTCTAGACTCAGGGACTCCTTGCTAGCAACCCGCCGTCCGTTATACTGGACTGGACGGAATGACTAACGTAGCCATACAGACTCCTACTAACATTCCACTGCCCATGTGGCATGTGTCAATGACACAGCACTCTGTGATTGTGCTCAGGTGAACGCCATCCCTACGATAGAGGCTATCGCTTTATGAAAACTATTTTCCATTGAATACGATAGCAAAGCACTGCAGGAATAAAAATAAAAAGCTAGATGTCAAGGTGAAAGGCAGCAACTACTAAAAGAAAATCATTTGGGATCACGGTTCACTGTCAATGGGTAAGGCAGTAATATAGAGATCTTCACGTCCAGCCTGGTTTTTCTTGATGGACCACTACAGAACCCCAATGGTCCACACAATGTCGAGTACAGTGTACAGTACGTAGTCTTGGATTGTACCGTACTCAAGGACTTTTAATAAGAGAATTTCTCTTGAGAAAATCTCTCCAATACCGTACAATACTGTATTGTCCATAGCACTGTACATAGTACTGTACAGTGTACAGTACTATGTACTGTACTATGATCCACACACACTGCCATTGCCGCGCGAGGGTTACTACAGTACCGCACTACACTACTGTATGACCAGGGTCGACTGTATATAGACTCAGCCTTGCCGGGTGGATTGACGAAAAGGCAACTTTGAAAAGTAGGTAGCGCATTCTTAGTCAAGGTCGATATCACGGCCATTGCTCTTACAGCCATCATCAAGATACAAATAGTTCACGGATACTAGAAATCACCATGTCGAGTGACCAGCACCGTTGGAAAAATTACAAAAATAAAGGGCTCGATCAACGAGAGATGCGACGTCGTCGCGAAGAAGAAGGAGTCCAGTTACGAAAAGTCAAGCGAGACCAACAGGTAAAATAAGTCATTTCATTGTCAAGAATATCATTATGATACTGTGATGTCCAAGTGTCCCTATTTGGTTATTGGACGATAGAATTCAGTGCAGCATTGCACTCAGACTACTCCAAACTTCCTATTGAATATCAAGTGAATATTTCAACTAGCGTTACTTTATCATAAGGGCATTTTGAAGATGTTATTGGCACAAGCCGGCCACTTGCATTGTTATTATTGGCAGTGTGCGTACATTTTATAAAAACGTCTTGTTGTTAGCCCAAACATTCGATTCATTTCATACAGTATTCATAATACTGTAGTAGCCATGTTCCTTGCATGAATCAGCAAGTGAAATACTCCGGCGGGTAGAGACTTGCTATGCTATTACGAACTTGCAGTAACTATGACTTCAAATAGACGATCAATCCAATAGCTAGCGCCGTCATCAAGACAGTACTGTAACACTTTCTAATTTTAACACATCTTGTTATTGATTAACCCTTGGAATTTCGTGTTGGACAGTCAGTCATGTACTATGTATAACGCTTTTGTAGCATAGGTACATAGACTTAGTCGGGAATTGACTTGAAATTAGTGTATCGAGTTTCGACCAGGATCTCCAAATCAATGACCTCCTAGCAAGATGATGTACACTGTACTGTACAGTATAGAAATTTGTATTACTTATACACCAGCACGCTTGGTCAAGGACCAGTAAGGGTTCCTTACGATGCATGAGCAAATAAGGCCCATGACATGCAGCTAACTGTACGGTAGTGATCGTTTTTCTCGTTGTCAATGCATGGTAACAAAGAGTATAGAATCACTAACTACTTTTACCCTCAGAGACGGAAAATTCCCCTAGAATCGTCGATTACTGTATAAATGAAATTCTCAATGATTAATTCCAATTTTTTTCTATTTCTGTGTACGGTACACCGATCAATCGATCACTTCTCGACTAGAACTTATAGTACAGTACTGTGATTGTGTCCACTTGAAAAAGGAAACCTACAGTACTTGGCGACCACCCATGTGGTACAATGTGCTACTGTAGTCATTCTTAGGGTTTTAGTAGTAGCAGTATAGTCAGTGCAATTACACTAGCGTAGTACAGTATACTGTATGGGTACCTATGCTATCAAGCAGTCAGTACTCGGTACATTTTGAAGCCTGTTGTTTTGGAGGATTCCTTGCGTAGGCAAATACGTTTACTGTATCGTTTGAGGAGACCATAAACGACTCATAATGATCATCCGACCTTAATTTACCTTGTGCAAGATTTCAGTCTAGTAGTATCGAATAAGCTGGATAAAGCATATTTTTTAGTACAACACAGCAATGTCTTGGGTGATCTAAAACGACCTAATTGCAAGCTGCATCAGTAGGAGTACTACACTGTGCGTAACTTAGTCTTATACCGCTCAGTCATTTGACTGCGTACAAAGCACAACTGTACTGCACAGTACATTGTACAGTACTTCGTACTGACGTACAGTACAGTACTGTACATCACTGGAGATCATGTACTGTAGTGACCAATTCTGATTTGCCCTGACTGTATCTGGCATACTCTACACTACTGTATGAATAAATATACTTTGGGGATACTATTTTCCAAGTAAAATAGTGGGCTTTCTTCTTGGTATTATTAGGTGGCAAGTATTGATTCTTGTACCTAATTTACCAGTAGAAATGATGATCTAGCATATAGCACCGAAACTCGTGACACACTTTTCCTGTAACTGTCCACTGTATCTGCAGTATAAACTTCCGAACAAGATTGCACAGGGTTAGGGGTAGAGGTAGAAGTTAGGAATGAGCAATTAGAGTTAGCTTATTTGATTCCATTGCTATAAGTGACGATTGCGATGATTTGGACCAATTAGCGCTTGATTGGGGTACGGTAATAATGTACAAGTACACTATTTCGTGCAGTTGGTGTTAGTCGGATATCTTCCCTCTATGCTATAAGAAAAGGCCAACAACCTAGCCAAATCGAACTCCTTAATCGAAAGGAAGAACTGTTCAACTAATCACACTGCCATTACTTTGATAATCCTTTTAGTTGAGTAAGCGACGACAAGTTTCTGCAATGGTGGATGATGACGATACCGGAATGGAAATGAAATCGGAGATATCTCCAAAGGTAAAGGCAAAGTAACGCAACTGTCGAATTTCTGTCGTTTGTCTTGTCTATATTGTTTCACCTACTTACCACAAAGACTACATAACCACTTGTACAGACATAGTTACTAGTAAAATGTTATCATTAAATGAAATCAAGTGAAGGTTTCTAATTGGCGAAATTTGTATTACCTTCCGTAAATTACAGAGGATAGCAACAAATTTCTTAATGTATTAGTATCATTAATTATATACTGGTTATCTTGGCAGGGTAAATACGATTTAGAGTCCATGATGTCAAATATGTATTCTGCCGATTTGGACTTGGTATTAGAAGCTACTCAAAAATTTCGCAAGCTATTATCGAAAGGTTCGAATTTAAAGTGTTACTAATTCAGTCTGCTATGTAGTATCTACAATAACATCACACAATGATGAAATGATCTTGAGCATCACCTTTCGTCAATGTTACGAATAATAAACGCCTACGTTAGATTTGTCTGATTATATGCTGATATAAATCGGTATAAAAATGATCGCAATATCACCCATTGCTTATAATTATAAAATATGTCATAAGCTTTGCGACCTGTTATCACTGGGAAAATATATTGGGTAATTATTCATATTTGTTCAATTTTAGAACCTCATCCACCTATTCAGGAAGTTATTAACTTAGGAATTGTACCTAAATTGGTAGAATTATTGAAATGGCAGAATGATACTTTACAATTTGAAGCTGCCTGGGCGCTAACTAACATTGCCTCAGGAACTTCACTCCAAACTGCTACAGTATTACAAGCTGGAGCAGTACCTGTCTTGATAGAATTACTGTCTAGTAGTAACGTTGATATTCAGGAGCAGGTAAAACTATCAATGATAATTAATTACACCGTAGTTGTACTGCCAATGTCATGATCATGTCAGTCTTATTAATCTACTTTTAATTTTTATCAATTAGTCTGTATGGGCTTTAGGGAATATTGCTGGTGATAGCACTCCATGCCGTGATCATGTTTTAGGTCTTAATATTCTACCTTCACTACTGCAGTAAGTCTGACATCAGCGTCATCAAATACTACTAACTTTTCGCCCAATTAACCGTTCTCTTAATAGGAGAGAAATCGCTAATAGATATCATACAATTTGAATAGACGGTTTCGTGTCTTAGATTTCACTGAACAATTGATCGTGCAATTGACGCAGTGATAGACTTCTAACGCTGTACTAATGTTTAATATTATCTAGATTAATTGCCAGTGCGCAAAAGTTATCATTAGTTCGTAACGCTGTATGGGCACTTTCTAATCTTTGCCGTGGAAAAAATCCTTTACCTGACTTTGGAATTGTACGTAGGATAGCTTTGTTTGTTATTGAAGAATGAAGTTACATATGTAGAAAAACGTTTCCCCTTTTAATGTTATAAATTGGTAACTACACAATATACAGGTATCAATTGCTCTACCAACATTAGCGAGACTATTATATGCTGACGATAAAGAAGTATTAGCAGACACATGTTGGGCTCTATCTTATTTAACCGATGGTCCAAATGACAGGATACAGAAAGTTATCGAAGTTGGTGTATGCAAGCGATTAGTCGAATTATTACTGTAAGGACAATTAATACGGAAACTTCGTCAAGTTGTTTGGTCGTGTATTCGTTACAATGTGTTCTTTTCTTATTAGACATACGCACTCTTCGGTGCAATCAGCTGCTTTAAGAGCAGTAGGCAACGTAGTCACTGGTGATGACGTCCAAACGCAGGTAATTCCAATCTCCATACCGTTTAACAAGACCTATAGCAAGTAACTAAATTAAATCCGAAAATCTGTCCTATTTAGGTAATAATTGAGTGCTCCGCTTTATCCAACCTTTCGACCTTATTGGACAGTTCCCGAGACAGTATTAAAAAGGAAGCCTGTTGGACAGTATCCAATATTACGGCCGGAAATAAGACTCAAATACAGGTAGCCTAAAGTAATCAGCGCAATATTTTTTATATCTAGTGAATGATACTAGCGGAAACTATACTGATGTATTGCACTGATGATAATGATGCATTTATGTAACTAGGCGGTAATAGACGCTAATATCATACCTAAGCTTATTCATGTTGCAAGTATGTCCGACTACAAAACACAAAAAGAAATTACTTGGGCCATTACCAACGCTACAACAGGAGGAAACGAACAACAAGTGAGGTAATGACGGTACTCTACTTGTCAATATTTAGTAATTTCTGTTCGTGAAGGAAATTATTCAAGACTTACGTTATATTAAATTTTATCCCTTAGATTTATCGCTAGTCAGGGAGCAATTAGGCCTCTTTGCGAAATACTTGGCGTAATGGATGCTAAAATTGTCGATGTCGCTATGACAGGACTTGAAAATATATTGCGTGTTGGAGAACGCATTGGTAAAGCCGAAAATCGTCCCAATCCTTACGCTATTTTGGTAGAGGAAGCTGGAGGTAACTAAACAGACATGTAAATCGTCCTCTTAATATTCTGCCTAGAATCTAAATCAGATTTCTAATATTTATTGTCTATCAGGAATTGAAAAAATAAATTTTTTGCAACGCCACGACAATCAAACTTTATATAAGAAGGCATACAATATAATCGATAAATATTTTCCATCAGATGAAGCTGATGGTGAAATAACACCAAGCATTGATCCAGCTAACAGTCAGTACTCCTTTGGTAATTTCAACGAACATCATGGTAATTTCGACTTTTAATTGTGTTATGATGTAAGACCAATAACTTCAAGGCGTAGCCCATTACCCCATGTTGTTTAAAATTTTTGTCAGGCGAAAACCTTGACGTAGATATTCAGTTTAAGTATAAAATTCCTTTCATCGACGATTTCCGATATTATTGATAATTGTTGCTTCCGGTGTAGCTATTTTATACGCGTACGCTGCACCATTTCCCAAAACATTTTCGTATTGGAAGATAGCGCATAAAAGGTGTTTGCGTTTATTATTTACCTCGTACCATTATCCGTTGGTTCTATCAAACTTATTGCAGAAAAGATAATGTGGATGATTAAGAATATTAGGTGATATCGATAAAGTAGTTTCGATCGCACGTCATGGTAAAGCAACAATTTTTATATGATATAAAATTGATTAGTCCGATATAAAAATATAGCTATTATTGTACATGCAACGGTATAATTCCTAATTATATGGGACTCGAAGCTAATTGATCTACTTCTTAACTGTGATATTTCTAGCATAATTTTTTGGCTTCTCGATACGCTTGTAACATATGATAAAAAATATTCGTACCGTTTTGTTTTTATTTGTATAACAAATGCAAGACATACTTCAATAGTAGTTTTCAACATCCTGATGCAGCTAATTTGCTGAAAATAAGCAGTAATGGCTTACTATTCCTTATTCTTGGTATATCCTGTGGAATGCTTACTTTTACTGCAGTTAAAGCAGTTCTGCTATCATGTGATTCTAATTTCAACATTTTCCACAAATTAAGAATTTGTTTCGGTCGCTTTTAATCTTTTGGCCATTATTACTGGTTTCTATCCCTGAGTATTCAATTATTGCATTATGCGTCAATGCCAAAAATGGATTTAATACGTGCCATAACTAATGCTTAAGTACAGTCATAAAAGTATTCTGAATTCGTATACATAAAAATATATATATATATGTTCACGGATACATCCACATGTAATTATTAATGTAATTATTTACAACAATATCAAGCATGCGATCATGGAATAGGTAGCATACTACGTTATTAAAATGCAGTACTTGTAATATTCATATTTGGTTTTAGTATATAAAAATTGCATACAATATATCAGCTATTCTAAAATCAATATGTTAATGATTTTTTTTGCCTGTTTTGAAGTGCAATATTAATCAATCTTAGAGTATACATCTGATCTTTAATATTAATATAATATCGATCAAAATATTTGCTAACAACTGAAAATTGTTTAATTTTTTTGATTTTTGTTGGTCAGGAAGATACTATAATAATTGTATTAAACATTTATAAATAATAAAGATTACTTTACACTATTTTTTGTTTTTTGCCAAATTTTTTTCATACATTGATATTAAGTATAGGGACATCATCAGTTAGGACAATGTCTGCTACTTTCTAATGTTTGAGCCTTAAACATGTTCCTTGATGATTTATAATTAGTACCGGTAATATTTTGACTGTGATAAGACAACTAGATAGCTTTTCTAGAGATAGTACAAGTTGTCTATCAGAATTCATTACGAAACTCAAATACCTACGCGTATCTATATAGCACACGAGTCTAGTGCCGTGTCTTCAGCATACTGTAGTTTAAATATTTCAATCTCGTGTAGAATTTAGATGCAGCAAGATGCTAAGGCGAGGGCTAGCACATGCAAGGGGTGTTTCTAGTTACCAAGTTTTCTATAAAGAATGCATAATTAAAATCCATAACAAGCCTCCACAACTGCAAGAAAGCTTCTCTGTAGTAATGTTCATATGTTACGGAGACACGCAAAATTGGGTACAACTGGTAATTTGGAATCAATTAAAAAAACTTTTTGTTACTATTGAAACACGTATGATTATATACGTATTTATAACACTTAACGGTGCAGTATTTTGCAACAATATAGCAGTAACTATCACCACTTTCATCAGTAACTTCACAATGATTTATTTGCGCTCATTCAATTACCCAATTAGTGTACAATAGTACTTGTTTCATTACAGCGGCATCGAAAATACTTATATTGCATTAGATACTTCAAATGAAAACATCTGATTGTAAAGTGTGAAATAAAATCGGTAATTACCGTATCTTGGAACTATATTTCAGCAGAATAAGTTCACATCATGCGAGGAAAATAGGATTATTTAATGAATCTGACAATAAATTGGTTCACTCATCTTCATTAAATCCATCACAAAGTCTTACTGATGATGGACGATATAATAAATCAAATGCGATAGAATAATAGCTCTACTGCATATAGTGCTGCTAATATCTGCAATAGTAAGAGAATGACTACGCAACAGTTAAAAATTTGCTTGAGAAAAAGTTGTAGTTAACTATTTTTCATTTTCAGATTTCCTAATAAAAAATCACAGTTTGCTTAATAATGCAAACTCAATTACAGTCTTACATCTGTTGATCTAGGATTCAATGTCAAATTTGTGCTTTATGAATTAGAATATCTCTTTTGGGCTTTTCCTGTTGTATCAAATACATAAGAAACAAATTAGATATTGATGATCAATTTATGAAAGTATGAAGTAGAGGACAAACTTAACATGATACGTATAGAATAATAAAATGATAATATTGCATTTAAAGTACCAAATATATTTATATGCTCGTATAAGTCCCATTGCTTAGATCTTTAGTTATCACTAAGGTTACATGAATGTAACTGAAATGAAACTTGTAAAGACATTCAGGTAAATCCGCTATTATTTTAACATTAATTATAATTTTTGTTAACAAACAAGGAATAGTCAAATTTTAGAGCTAATGCAATTCAGTCTATCAACTGATTTAGTAGCAAAGTTAATGCTAATAACAGCAATTCACATAATTCTCGAAGTAGTTTAGTTAATTTTTAACGCTATAAGTGATAAATGTAGGCTGTTTTTGTTAACTTCATTGTAACCTATCCTATCTCTAAATAGTGTTCAAAACCCTATTCAATAATTAAATAATTATAACTTACCGTAAAGAAATTTTTATATATTATTTCCAATAAGAGAAAAACGTAACCAAACGATAAACCAAGAAATAACGTCATAAAAATACCAGCTAAAAAATGTAATCCAATACCGCTATTATTGCCTGCTACTGCACCGTTATTATCACATTGGCTTCGATCAGTCCACCATTTTTTACGCAAATAATCCATATATCCACGATCTTGTAATGTTAAAATAGCCAAACTAAAATTTTTCACATATGGTGAACCTTTCTGTAATCCGATACCAAGTGGGCTATGACCAAATGGCTTACCAATAGTCAGTAAATTACATGGACGACGTAAAACATAATAATCAGCTGTAGCTTTATCAATTAGAAATGCGAACGATCCATTGCGAGTTCGTTTAATACCAGCTTGCAAAGTCGGCATTAGGCCATTACTCTCTTGTATTTTCTTCCATATTATTTTATCGACCGGACGACGCGATGAATTAAAATGGTAAGAAGTTTGTCCACCGCGGATAGCACCAGCAGCATAACTTGAATTAGATAATTCAGTTAAACTGTGGATAATAGGTTTCATTGGCGTAACCGATAAAAATGCAGTTAATTTAGCAGTATAAGTTTGAGTAATTATTAATACAAAAAACCACCATGAACCACCTAATATGCGGCTCGATAAGCCTCGAGGGGTTGTCTCGGAGCCTTGTTGTAATAAAGAGCTATAAGTAAACCACATGCTGTTATAAAATGTTTGATCTTGTCCAGCTTCACGAACGTCTTCATTTTTGCCCCAACTGTATGGACTTAAGCGATTATACCAACCAAGCAGTAGGCTCACTAATACCGACGATATAACTAGTGCTATCCAAACTTCGGTTTTAAATGGGAAGAAAAACTGGAATAGATCAGGTTCACGCTGGCCAGGATTGCTAATAAGAGCAGTTGAATGAGAGTATAAAAAAGGAACTGTAAAATCAGCCACAGTTTCTCGGATAAGGCTAATTGTCAAGTCAGCTAGGGCAACATCTGCTTTCTGATAAAATAATAACGAAAACATGTAGATATAACTTCTTCCTTACGAACAACAATTGAATGTAATATCAGCGTTAATATAATTTTTATCATTATAAGTAAAGAAATTGTAACTCAATAATATTGTTTTTAATGGAACTTATTGAAGGTAATGATAAATTGATTTACTATCATTAATGTTCTATTAGTTGGGAACGATATATGCTACGTTACAGAATTACGACTAAATTCAATATATTCTACTGGTAAAGAAATAATAACTCAATAATATTATCTTTAATTAGATGTATTGGCGGTAATGATGTATTAATGCACCATAATGAATATTATTCTAGTTGGAAACGATACATCGTAAATTATATTAATATTTCTAAATTCACTATATATAGTCTGCGCCGCTTCAAGGATTGATGAAAGGCAAGCCATCATCGAATTTGGGATATTTTTTCGATAGGAGAATTGTTTAAGAGTTTGGTATTAAATATTCTTGCTATCATACCATAAATCATAGCATCATTAACTACTAAGACTGTATACCGCATTAGATATACGCAATTATCGTAAAGGTATTAATAATTAATCATATGTTTTTCCTAATATTAGCAAAAATTGAGAAATAGACCCTGTCTTTACTCTTACCATAACTAGATTAGAGTGATCATGTGTAAAACTGAATCCGTACATGCATGGAATTGATAAAGATCACAACTAGAATGCAATAATGATTTACCTGTTCAACAAGCTGCCCGATTAAACCAGACCAGGAGCCATTATCATATCTAGCACCATATTGATGATCTTCGACAAGGTATAGTTCATAGTCTAGACCTAGCATTTCCTTTATTGCATCCATAATATCAATACAGAATCCTTCATAACTTTGACTGCCAGTAATTGGATCATAATCCTTGGTAAATACGAATGGCCTAGCCTACATTCAAACGTAGGTTTAATATTTTCGTTAGTTAGAATCGATATCGAGAGAAAAATACAAATGGAAAGAAATTCAATTCGCAGCTTCAACTATTTCACAATAAAGTAGCTATACCAGCAACCAACCGCTTTACAATTTGCAATCCGTAATAAGTAAATAAATACTAACTATTGTGATAGAATACGACTAAATTATAAGGCTAGAAATATTTTTAATACTTACTATTATTGTCACCACTTTTAAGACTCTACGTGGAACATTAGACGTCCAAATCGCTTGATGTGAACCTGAGTAACGCGTTGCAATCTAATTTAAATATATCATAGAAATTAAAACCACGTTAAATGTATATTTCAAACATAATTTGATAAAAATGATTAAATTGACAAATCTGCAAATAAAGAGTATGAGTAATATGATTGTAAACTTACCACTGCAGGATTAGTCATAATTGATTCAGCGGTTGCATTAATAATTTCTACGGTATAACCACGCCTAACCTTATTAGCATCATATTCTATTATCCCAGTTAAACCACGAATGTGAATCTATAGAATTCATTTTAGATGAGCCAAAACTTATTATATTACCATAGCATATAAAACATTAAAATATTTAGAAAGGTTTACAAGAGGTACGCTGAGATTTCAATTGGGTTACTTAAATAGATTAGCAGAGCTAAATAGCATCCGCTATCAAAATTTTACTACGATTTGCTATTATATTATTACGTACATTTTGGATTCTTTGTATAAATTCGTTAGTAGGATATCGTTTATTATCGTTGCAATTAGGTAATAATTTTGGACTATTTAAGGAAAAGACAGAATGATGGGTATCATAGATATCTTCTATAACTTTCGATAAAACTTCTACCGAATCAAATGCGAGCTTGGCGCTAATCTAATTATAAAATAATAGAAGTTAGAATCACTCTAAAATTAAATTCTTAGCTAGTTTCGTTCAATATTAGTTATCACACAATAGATTTTTCCCGCCATTTAAAAGAAGATGTAGATAAAGGAATTAATGATCTATAATGTTGTTACTCGAAGGATGGAGCGATTTTCTGATCGAATTGGGTTTCGTTCTTTGTATTTTTTTAAAATATGCCTTTCGATTCTTTTTGCATCACGCATAAAAACGGGTTGAAATCGCAATGTAGTAATTGTAGCTTCTCCAAATGATCCTACTATATCGTCATAAATCGACGGTAAATCCTAGCATAGTAAAATATATGATTTTTTACATAAGATTAGATCTGAATAAAAAGCATTCCTAATGAAATTAATTTCATTGTGCTAGTAAGTTAATATACAAGCTAAACTTACTTGTAACTAATTTACTTACCACTGTCGACAGAATCCATTTGTATTTGGAATCATTTAACATATTGAATTCATATGCCTACCAAATATTAAGTGTTTAAATATTGATCACTTTCAAGAGTAACTTCAAAGATGCTACGCAAGAATTTACGACAATTACATGCAAAATTTTTGCCATAACAACAGATATTTACTGAGTTGGTTTATATGTTATCTATTAGCTAAAAGAACGAAAAGAATATTTATAAATTTCTACTCTCGGATATTAATTAAACAACTGTTGATATCTCGTATTGAACTTGCAATGAAGATATCATAATATAATCTATCTTGAATCAGACGTGATGGAAAATATCTCAAAAAGCGTAAATGCAATGAGCTATAAAGGTTGAAACAAGAAGTGACCTATAATGTAAATCTATCGTGTGGTATTCATAATAATATTATAATTTTAAATGATTTTATTTGTCCTCTTTATAGAACGGGTACCCAATATTAGTAGCAATATTCATTTTTAACGTGTAGCTTGCAAAGTAAAGGCTGCTGATTTGTTTTCACGTAGACCACAATTCATCTTTTTGATATCCTTAATTGTATATTACTTTACTCTGTCATGTCTGAGCAAAAATATGCTGCATTTCGTATCTATTCAGTCTATTTATATGCTATTTGATGCTAGCTACTGTAAAGAAATTAAAAAAAATTCACCAACTATGATAATTATAATTCGATTGAAGTTTGCACCTGTTGAAGGATAACCACGACATTTGTTTCATCACAGTTAATCATAAATTTTGTTATATTTCTTTTTAGCGAAGACGTTAATATATTTTTGGCCAGTATTCGCTTTTCAGCTTTTGTTGTAGCCAAAAATTCATGAGCTGTATAATGCCACGTATTGACCATTGGATCGTTGACTAATCTTTCAATCCTTAAAGCACCTATTTAAAGGGATTTATTGAAGCAGATTCAAGTACGCTTTTAAATTTTATTATTGATGCAAGAAAGCAGTTCAGGTTATTAGAAGCGCTAGAAATAAAATTCTGATGAAAAGGTGATCTTCTGTCTATTTCAAATCAACTGTAGCTCTTAAGTTGGCATTTGCAAATTGTTTAAACAAATTTAGCGCAGCTTTATTCCATAAATCATTAATACCATCGAATAAAATGTCGAAATGATGCCAACTAAACTGCTTAACGATATCTACGGCAATTGTATCCAGCATGTGTTCTGAAGGGGCCATATAGAAGGTGGTATCGTCTGTGTGGATTTCTTTGTCATCAATGCTAAAGCGTGGAATATTCAATGAGCTAGCTAACAAGGCAATTATCGATGTTGCTACTCCATCCTTTACTAGTGGGCCAAATAATGCAACAGCTCCATTTGCAACTTGATCACAAACTAAAAGTAAATATAAAATCATGCCTATTAGTAGCGAACTACAATAACATGGATTTTACATTTTGCGAGTTAGCGGCAATGAATATAATGAAATTGATAAAATACTAGCAATAGTGTAATAGCTAATTTATGGTAATCTGAAAAAAAACTAAGCAATGGCTTATGGTAATAAAATCATGTATTTCTAGTCTTATTATAACAGTTCAAACAGAATATACGACTCCTAATACCTCCAAAATTGAAAATATTGAGTTTGTAAATCAATATGCGTACTAATATAACTTTCTGATTGAAATAATTTAATCTTGACTGATTAAGTAAAAGTCATTATTAAGACCAAATAATTTCTATACAAAGACCTCTAAAGATTATTAAATACGTAAAAACTATTTCGTAAAATAAGTCATATCTATACTTACTACCAGTGATTCACAGTTGTCATTAATCTTAATTAATTGGATTGCTAACTAAAACTATGGCCACTGTAAGGTTGATAGCAACCTATTCCATTTAGATAGATACTACTTAGACCAATAGGCATGATAGATGTAGTAACTGTTCTGAATATTATCTAATAATATAGAATGAATGCAACCATAGGTTATAACGATTCACCAATAGCAACTAAATGAGCTGTAATTCATTCACTATTCAATGTAGCACCTATCGCACGAATGATAATTTAATTTTATCAAATTAAATTGACAGTATTCAGCTTTTTGCGATCAGTATATCACGCCTTGATCAGAGACGTTTGGAGCTAGGCCATAACAATGGTTATAATTATGATTTTAATTTCTAAATTTCATATTTGCATAATATTTGCTCCGGAAATTATTAAAAGTAAATTAAATTTAGACTATTGGTAATGATTTGTAACTGGCAATTAAATGAGCTACTCTGTAGTTCTCATTTAATATAGTAGCTACAGCATGAATGATAATTTAATTTCATCAAATTAAATTGAAATAATTTTGCATTTCAAAATCGGTACATTATGCAAGATCAGAGATGTCTGGTTTAGAAGTACAACTTTGTAGATGTATTCCAGGAGCTAGGGCATAACAATCGTAATGGCTATAATGTTAATTATTAAATTTGAGATATTTTGCTAATATCGATCTTCATACTGATTTAAGATGACGAAAAAAGCAAATTCAAATATAACAATATTAAGGATTTGCAATTAAATTGAATCAAGATCTACCTGGATTTTGGACGTTAAGAAACTGACTTCGATCCACAATATTCAATATTGCGCTCAAATTTAATTGATATAATTGAAATAGCCTTTCATGAAAATAGTCGATGCCATACTCGAACGCAACTTGTTCTTGTGTTACCTTATGGTTGGTTGTAGTTAAGCCCCCTATTAACATCCGAATTGAAATAAACAAGAAGGCGAAAGATTAATGAAGAATAAATCATATTATATACGAAAATTAGTTCACTGTATGTACATTTTGTAGACCATTTCAATGTCAAAAAACTAAAAATGACAATATTTTATAATGATTGCAAATCTATACCGGCAGTAATGGTCCTATCATCAGCTTGGCAGAAATGATTGCTTTCATTGATAGATAGTAATAGTAATATTCCAAGCGTTAACAAGATCCAATATTTGCTGTATAAGTACTTCATCTTTCCCGATTGCTAAGTTTTGCTGATCAAATTAAGAATTGTAGAATTATTGTAGCCACGAAGAGGTTCGTTGACGTTGCAAGGTATCACATTGAGCCAAGAATCTCACATAGCAAAGGGAAGAATGCTAAGCTATTAAAATATTAAAATAGGCAATAGACCTAAAATAATTAAATTCTTCAAGTAATGATGCAATAATAATTAACCAGTAGTCTCCTGTAGCTTCTCGATTATTTTCTTAATATATAGTGATAGGCCGAAAAGTAACAGAAAAGAAAAAGAATTTATATGAATATCTAATATAATCAATAAAAATTCAGTAAGGGCAATATGAGACGTCGTATCTAATTAAAAATGAAGTGATAGTAATTTTATTTTTAATCAGCAAATAGAACTTCTTATACCAGAATAGATGATTGAGGACGTAGAACTAAAAAGATCTTGAATGCTATACTCTAGCGTGGAATAAAGGAATTCAAAAGTAGGGATGATACAAAGTTTTTTAGTATTGGAAAAGATCTGGGTTTGCTTTAAGGAAGTAAGTCAACCTTATGATGAAAAGAAATTAAATCAAGATTTGCAGTACATTATTTCTAAAATATTAACTGGACACTTTCATTAATTAGAAGTGAGCGTGAAGTCGGTACTTCGTCGATATTAATGGATATTAAGTGCAAAAATCTGATCTAAAATAATTCTAATATCATAACCATTTCCATTACTTACCTCTTACTGTTATGTAAGCTTATCAAATGAAGGCAAGAAACAGGTTAACAGATGGAACTAACTATCTGATATCTGGTACAACTTGATCATGACTTAGCATACGATCAATTATTATGAATAATATTCATTTCATAATTATAATGGAATATTACAAATAAAGAAAACGTCTGTTCACTTGAATTAGGTCATCGTTTGCCTAATCCATATGTTGAATATTGATATAGAATCTATTAATTTATTGATAGTACACTTACAAGTAAATAATCAAAAGAGCGTTACCAATGCAAGGGTGAATTACATAAAATTTCTATTTAAATGATCGCATGCTGCATAAATGATATACTATTGTAGCAGTCTTAAATTTTTAGTCTAAACCTTGAAAATATTGCCTAATGTTCGCGTATAATTTACTTGTTTACACTTTCACAAGCAGATGCGGTAACCATCAAAAATTTGCAGTATAAGTCACACTAAAATTCTTGTTCTTATATCTGTACTCTAACAATAAACAGAAATGGAATGTTTTGCCATGGACTGCTACTACACGGTGTATTTTTGATGGAAGCGATTCGCTTGGTAATCTTCCACAAATAAAATATTCTGTACATTACTACGAACGTCTGGACAGGCAAGTATTATTCAACTACTACTACAATATGTATTCGTATAATAGTTACTATATGCAACCATCAAAAATTAGCAATATAAGTCACACTAAAGTTCTTGTTCTTATATTTGTATTCTAAAACTTGACAAAAATGGAATGTCTTGTCATGGACTATAACCGGTACTACAGTATATGGTCTTATGTGCGTTTATGGGAGCAATTGATTACACAATCCTTCATAAATCACATATTTTGCATATTATTGCGAACTCATGGACGAATAAGTATTTTTTAACTACTAGTATATGCTCGTACAGTATAGCAGTTACAATAAGCGGGATACATTTATGGGTCGACTGAGATAACTTAAATTACTTGATTAGGCTGTTGCATATATCTATATGTCTATTAGTGGTCTAATAATTTATATTAATTTCTGCTGTAACTATTTCAAATACAGTGAAAGTCTATATTTAATTGTGAGTCAAGACTTTAATAACGAAAGTATTCAGATGCAATGGATTACAGAAATGGTAACGTAGCTTATAACCTTAATCGGTTACAATGGCAATCATACATTCTCATTGACTTATTTGACTACCGGAATTTAAGACCTTGTAGTCAAAATATTTAATTTTATCCTAAATATGCAGTCACTTCAATAATACAGAAATTTAATCAGCGCTGTAAAATTATGTTTGCGCAACTGAACTAATGATATTCCTGGCAACTGAAAAGAATATGAATTTTAAAGTATTACCATGCCATAATAATTACTCTATTCGTTTAACTTTCTTCACTAATTCCACTGCTACAAGATTTATAGCAAGAACCGATATTATTAGAAGGAGCTACTTTTTTTTCTAGGCAATATCTCAACAGATTCAACTTTTAAAATTAAATGCAGAAAAGCAATAAACTAGCTAAAGACTCCACATTTAAATGGTTAATTTTAATGAATTTGATAATCTTGTCTCGTAATATGTATGTGAATAATATATTTCTTACTATATTTTACAATTAATTAAATCCCTTCCAGAGATTAAAAAATGCGGTATCACTATA